GAAGCCATTTTTTGAAGTCTTTTCCTTGCTCCTAAATCCAGTCATGATTGCCGCTGGTGACACAGATTATTCAAAGTTACTGGCTAACCAGTGTTTCTGAACGTTGGGATCGCAAAGCATAGCTCATTAAACGATGGCCTTAGGAGAATTGCGGAGCCAATGAATTGTCACTTGGCCCCTACCAAGTCATCTGGCAGTCGGATCACTGAATACTGGACAGTTTGCCGGTCTTCGCCAAAGCCAGGGACAACCAGTGAGCATCTAAGTGTTGCACACCATGAACTGTCCAATGTAGTGGTGGTCGTACTTGATTTCTTGTACCTATTTTTACTAAAATATTTCAGTAATAACAATGTGTTGCGCAGACACTAGCGGAGCCATATGTCTGTCAAAATATCAAACACTCATAAACATGCTAATCGAATAACGCAAATGTACATGCGTCCGGAGCTTATGTAAACAAGACTCGGTCAGCTATTGATTATGAATTCATCTGTCAGCTTTTTTATTGTATACTCTATTTTCCGTTAGAAATTTTCCCCTAGAATTTCCATCTTACTCGACTATTGCCTGCCTAAGTTCCATCTGCCGAGTTCCATAGTCAAAAAGAAGATACAAACACCCGAAGTTTACGGTGATTTTGGACTATTAATTTTCTGCAATTTCAAATATTGTTTAAATCGTTCGCTTAGTCAATGCTACTTATTTGGCTTAAATTATATCTGAGCAAACACCGAATCAATTTACAGTGCCATGAAAATCCAAAGACTAGATCATTAGTACTACGCATTTAATCCAGATTCTCTCCGATCTACATGCCGCCGAACAATTATACTTCAAATCTTCACTAAGTAGAAGCAGAAGTAATCCAAGCGAGTTTCACAATTGCATTAGATAATTTCCTGTAACATTTATTACGCCCAAATATATTTCATAGTTACTTCTATATAGAGTGGTCAGATATCCTATCATCACCGTTGACTTGTAGCCACAATCATTTATATTTGTGCCTCGTAAGGAGACACTGAAAAATCGAATGATATTATTATTATTCACAAACATCTTATGAGTACATAAGTTTTGTAAAAAAACCATTTCGGGGTTGTTCAGAAACGCAATAATACGCAAGTTTCAGTAATGTTAGCATTATATTTGCCATATTTGAAAGAGAGGAAGAACGATAATAATGATAAAAGAATAACTAAGTCAGGTTCTGTATGATTAAGAAGCATACTGAGCTGACTTTAAAGAAGGAAAGGAAGAAAATGAGGGAATGGAGATAAATGAGATGCGAAATACGTAAACAGTTTAATAAGCGTGTTTGTGAACACAGAAAAAGAATAAACGGCTATGCGTGTATCGTCAGATGAGTAACATAAATAAGAAAATAACTTATTATTGCAGTAAGATATGACGTTACAATAAGTATTCGTGCAGTCATAGATTGGAGTGATATTATTTAAGTCTTAATTAAGTGCAAAGGATAATTAAATGTCAATATGTATGTGTCATATATGCACAGTGAAGATTAAACGAGTCAGATAAGTTTGTTTAAGTGTAATACAATATATTGCCTTAATTACAAATTTCGGAATCTTAGGAATAGTTTTTTTAGAAGGAAAAAGGGGGAAAAGAAATGAAGACCTGATATAAGCGTTCAACCATGATAGTAAGAATGTAATGAATATCGACCTCTGAAGTAAACCATCAATTCGAAACAAAACCATTAGTGCAGTCGGATGAATACGTGTAGATTTATGTAATAGTATACAGAGTAAAAAAACTCTTCTAGAGTTACTGTCGGTCCCAAGCCCGAGTAAGGGAGAAGGTTTAGCCATAGGGCTAGTGACCCTATCCCGTAGAAAACTAACTCGCTAAAATAACGCTTACCAGAAACATCAATTCGACCCGTTTAACCTCTGCCCTGGGAGTTAGCTCTTCATTTAGAAGACCTATAACGCCTCATGGTGAAAGCCGAGTTCCTTTGGAAGCCACGAGGTCGATGCTTCTTCTAACAATTAGAGCAACAATTTTTATAGGTACATGGAACGTTCGAACAATGTGGGAAACCGGGAAGACCAGTCAAATAGCAACGCAAATGAGGAGATACAACTTAGCAGTACTGGGAATCAGCGAAACCCACTGGACCCAAGCTGGGCAACAAAGGCTAGCTACGGGAGAGATGCTGCTATACTCCGGTCACGAAGAGGACAATGCTCCACACACTCAGGGAGTCGCACTTATGCTGTCCAAAGTAGCACGAAATGCACTTGTAGGATGGGAATCTTACGGATCCAGAATTATCAAAGCATCATTCAAAACAAATAAGGAGGGGATCACAATGAATATTATCCAATGTTATGCACCAACCAATGATAGGAACGGCAACATTAAAGATCAATTCTACGAGCGGCTTCAGTCAATCATAGAGAAGTGCTCAAGAAAGGACCCCACCATTCTGATGGGAGATCTAAACGATAAAGTCGGAATAGACAACACCGGATATGAAGATATCATGAGACGACATGGACTAGAAGATAGAAACAGAAATAGGGAAAGATCTGCAAATCTGTGTGCATTCAACAACTTGGTCATAGGAGGCACAATTTTTCCACACAAACGCATAAATGTAGCTGCATGGATCTCACCGGATCACACCACAGAGAACCAAATAGACCACATCTGCATCAATAAAAAGTTCCGAAGGACAATGGAAGATGTGGGAAGCAGGAGAGGAGCTGACATAGCTTCAGATCACCACCTAGTTGTGGCCAACTTAAAACTGAAGCTAAAGAAGGACTGGATAACTGGACAAACAGCGCTACAAAGGTTCAATACAGCCTTCCTTCGAGATACTGACAAAATCAACGAATTCAGGATAGCTCTGAACAACAGGTTCCAAGCCTTACAGGATCTACTGAAGGAAGAAGGAACTACTTTGGAGGACAACTGGAAAGGTATCAAAGAAGCATTAACTTCAACGTGTCAAGAGGTTCTCGGTCTAAAGAAATACCATCATAAGGAATGGATCTCTACAGAAACAGTGGACAATATCAAAGAAAGGAAGAACAAGAAGACAGCAATTAACAACAGCCGAACACGAGCAGTGACTCGACACTGCGGGCACTATGTATTGAGATTAGATTGTGGTTTGAGGTAGTCAACAGGAAACCCTGTACCTGTGTTTCGTGCTACTTGGCACTCGTCAGCAAGGTGTACTTGTAATCTTGAGGGAACTGGTGCTCCCTGGCGGATTCGATCTCGTGTCACCCAGCTTCACAGTCGGAGACGTTACCACTGAGCTATCCGAGCCGTGACTAACCTCCTGTAGGACTGAGATGTAATCACAATCGATTGATCACTGGGTGGTGATCAATCTCATGCTTGTCTAGTCCTTAATAGGGCAGATCACCACCCAGTGATCAATCGATTGTGATTACATCTCAGTCCTACAGGAGGTTAGTCACGGCTCGGATAGCTCAGTGGTAACGTCTCCGACTGTGAAGCTGGGTGACACGAGATCGAATCCGCCAGGGAGCACCAGCTCCCTCAAGATTACAGGTACACCTTCCTGACGAGTGCCAAGTAGCACGAAACCCGGGTCCAGGGTTTCCTGTTGACTACCTCCAACCACCATCTAATCTCAACACATTGCGTCGGATAATAGAAGCAGATATGAAAACGATGAATTACAACTGGACGGAGCTAGAAAGGATTGCCCAGGACAGGGTTGGATGGAGAATGCTGGTGAGCGGCCTATGCTCCTTGACGAGGAGTAACAGGCGTAAGTAAGTAATGCATTTCTTTCGCTAAACTGCCCTCCGACTACATATCTCCCATTTATAATAAATCAAACGAATATGAGTATGAGGTCGGTGTGCTTACTTCTTCCTCTTCTCCTGATGACATAACCAACAACCCAACAGGTACACATAACGCCCTGCTATCAGACAAATGCTCGCTAGACTGACAAAAATGTTAGTCAGTGCTCTATCTTTACCAAATGAAATGGTCCACATAAGAACCCTGGTATTTTTAAACAATTTTCGACCTGTTTTAATGACGGAAAGTCGGTTATCCCCCGATATAACAAACTCATAACTTCAAACAAATACCCACGAGCACTTCCGCTCCGACTAATTTATTAGAAACTTAGCGTAATTAGCTTACTAACGCCCATAAATCTCAAAACTTACATTGTCCCTCGAAAAGCACATAAGAAACAGTGTAGATCACGATGTAAGACCTTTGTTGTACGACTGTGTGACGTATTATGGCTAGACTGGTATATGTGAATGGCTTTCTCACGATGGGAATAAATCCCATGCCGCAATTATTAATATCAAATGCATCAGCAAATATAATATAAGTAAATTTGACTACGATTTTATCAATATGCGCGCCTCAGGTAACGTCATATCGATGACCGAACCCGGTATAATAATACCGTGACTCAAAGCATTTGCCGCTGGACGTAAGATACTACTCTGAACAAAACCACCGTTTGTTAGCTGCGGTATAGAGGTTGTAGAGTTAATTTTGACCATTCAGTATCTGCTTGTGAGAAAAGACTTAATCCATTCCGATAGGAGATTAGTAAATTCAATTGACTGAAGTCTGTTGATTATGAGGTTATGCGGTACTTTGTCAAAAGCTTTCTTGATGTCTAAGCAAAGTACAACTACGAGTTACTTTTGATAACGTATGCGAGTAACCACTCTAAAGAAGTCTAACATGCATATAACCCAGGACCTTGTTATAACGCAGCCGTTTTGTGACAGGTCGATTAGACTTTTCTCGAATAAGTAATCCGATGACTGATATTGTATCACTTCCGTTATGCGTTACATAACGAGTGGTATTTATAAGTCTGTAGTTCTGGTCCACTTTACACACCAGATCCAATTTCAGCATAGTTGTGTTAGAATTCTGGTCGTGCTAAGTACTTATGCAATACAACTTTTAAAGTTTATAGTTGTTATAAAATAGATTTGTAGAGCGCTCGGTGTGAACTATGACCTTAAGGATGTATTCGTGCTGCACACGAATTGTCTTTGGCATCGTTCTCTGTCAAAGCCTCATCACCTGAGAATCTTCACTTAGAACGTCATCCTAAACAGCGTATTACCTTAGTTTTAGTTCATATCAGCTTCTCATATTTTTATACGGCCAGTGAGAGGCAAGTCTTTTCTGTCAAAACCTATGACCCCTTTATTTTATATCCATTATGTAGTATCAAGTCCCTTATATTGAGAGAGTGAGGTACTAATTTTAGAAGCCAGGTTTGACTCTGTCTTCAAGTACATTTAAGTACTTAGTCACCATACCTTTAGCAAGATGACTAGAGATTTCCTGATCTGGTCTGGTAGATACTTTATCAGCTCGATTTCATGCTCAAAGAGAGTTCTGAGCCCTCATTTAGCTTGAATCGATAAAAAATAACCTGTCAAATTTAAATAGCATCCAGTTTATGAGTTACTGTTTGTAGGACTAGCTATTCTTTGGCAACATTGTATCATTTCAGGCTATTGATTTATTCCTTTTCATCAGCTCTCATTGGAGTAGCGATCACAGTCGCGCTACATGTCGTAAGATCCTGGAGGATTGTCGAGAACCTGGGTGGTTAAATTGTTGTTTTTCCAGCTGTAAACAGACCTAGGGCGAGAGACAGAAGAAACCCTCTCTTGAGCTTATATTTCTAACAGACTTCGATGTCGATCCGTCCTCCTCTGGTCCATGTAGGTCACCCGTCTCGGAGCTTATTTGAGGTAACTTCACGTAAATTTGTGTAATGATTAAGCGGGTACCATTTAATGTGTCTCGATTACACTTGCCTTATTAAGCTGTTTGAAAGTCGCGGGCGTTAGATTCGTGAAAACGTCGTAGTACCATCTATTGCACTAACCGCACCTTGGCTTCTCAACAACTTTCGATAAGGTCAACCATATATATCTTGTCAATAAGCTCAAACGATTAGATATCAAACCACGTTTGTTTGATTGGCTCACTTCATATCTAGAAATCGACATTTTAATGTCTGGGTTAACTTCACTTTCAGGCTATGCTGTGTCGTACTGAGGTCCCCCAAGATTCAGTACTAGGACCTCTTTCCTTGATTTATGTAAACGATCTCCCACAGTAGGTATCGTTAGATTGATTACTTTTCACTGATAGCGTAAAACTCTGAAGAGCACACACAATAAACTGTCGTATCAAAAGGATCTGACTCGACTTCAAAGTTGGGCAGACAACAGCAGACTTACCTTTAACATTTCAAAACACAAAGTAATACATCTGAGACGTTTTACAGACTACGAATACAACTTAGGTAACTCCCCTCTAGAGGTATTTCAAGTTGGAAAAAAACCCTTGAGTGTTGGTATCCCATGATCTGCGACGTAAATGCCTTTTGAGCAAACCTTACGCTGATATCACTAAAGCGCATTTTTAGGCAGTTCGAGGGAAGAAATTTTCCATTAACCTTAAACAGTTTTATTCGATCTCATGGCATGGGAGTGTAATATTTTCTCCCTCAGTCAAAAAGTATAAGAACACACGAACGTATCCAACGGCCATCCACGAAATCAGGTCGGGGACTCAAATTCAAGCCTTATGAAGAGCACCTCCAGTCACCGATCCTTTACCCATCCGAGTTCAGGCTTATAACAGGTGACGTTCTAATGACCTACAGCATCCTAAGTACTTTTGGACATCCCTTTAAATACCTAAAGTTTAGTTCCAACACAAACTTAGGGGGTAACACCCAGGAACTGGAGACAACAAAACAGAGTGGACTGTAGATACACCTACTCCCTAAGAGTAATCAAATGCTGAATTTCGCTGACGGCTCAGCTAGTCCAAGCGACTTCTCAGGAGTCCTTCAAGAGGAAACCTGATATGTTCTTAAAGACTAAGGTTAGTATCTTACTATGATTCGCCAATTTCTTTTTCCTCATGGTAATATACCTAGGTTCCTGTCTGGAGGTATCGGTGATCCACTGCTACTAGATACAGAAGCCCGTTAAGCGAAAGCTTCTATTCCATTCCAAACCATTCGAAACACCTGATACCACTGTCCCCAGGGTACCAATAAACTGGGCGTTGGCAACTACTTTTTTGCACTGTCCGGTCATTAATCATAGGTTTTCACAAGAAACTAAACATACAAAATACCCAGAGACAAAAATATGATGATCACAAAAGAAGTATAAGATCCAAAAATGTAAACAAATTCATGAAAACCAATGTACTCGAAAAGTACATTTTCGAGTTATTTTCGAGAAAATCGAAACTTTTAGCTATTGCGTTGACTGGAATATACGTAGTGAGGATGAAAACAGTAGTCTTGATGCGGAATAAACGATTACAACAATAAAATTAACTGAGCGAGGCAAAATACCACTGTCCTTTTAATATGGCGCGCATTAATGATCTTTATACTAGTTTTAGAGGAACTTTATTATATATATTTTGAAATAGAGGTTGAATGCCACTTGAACTTCTGTTGATCTTCCGAAAAGTTCTGACTCGACGTTTGTGCAATGTATCAACGTCTTTTTGTAGAATACCTTGGTTCTGATGGTGAGGTTTTTATTTTAGAATCCAATTTCTATAATGTCTAAGGGAATAACATTGTGTGGCCAACAAATTGCCCAAGGTATAACTACACTAATTTTGTGCTCATCATTTCAGTTATTGGTCAAAAAATTAGATCGGATGTGGCTTATTTAAAATCAAACTTCAACATTTCTCCCAAATTGGTCGTTATTGAAGTAAGTTTCCTGGGTCTTTTATCGTTTTAGTCTCCGCAATGCGTTGTAATTTAACAGATGCTTGTAGCTTATTGACTACTTCCTAAGCTGGACGTATCGCAACTGTTAATATCACATGCTTGGATTCATGCTACCGCCATCTGCAAAACATCTATAACTTACTGGGTTATTACTGTTCCTGTTAAAACCCTACAACTTAGTCGCATTAAAGTTTGTGATTTATATGATTAGCCTCAGGATTCGTTTGTGGCTGTCACATTTAAAATATATAGTTTTATACATGCGGTTCTCTTACCTTGAGTAACGTTTTCTTTGCCTAATAACTATAATAGTCCGTTTCATGGAATTACTTAGATAAACGTAACTATGATGTTTTTTAAGTTTTTCTATACTTTGTCGACACTTCAAAGTTTAACCCTACGGTCGATGTATCTGCATTACGACTGAATCTAGTTAACTGATGACCGGTCATTAGTGTGAAAGGAAATAAACCGTAAAAGTGATTGCTAACGTACTGGGTAATTCACTAGACTATAAGCCACATCTGTTGTTTGGTGACCTACTATACTATACACTTGTGCTTACGATCAATTCAGCTTTTGTAAGCACTTAAGCGTTAATTGAAGTATTGATTACGTTAAGAAAATTTAATTTTTTCAACCTGAATTTCAATGTACTTGAATGTTAAGGTTAACATGATTTTCGAGGTTTCGAGAATGAAATCAACTGATCGATATCTAAGTTTGTGCCCAAGTATGTGGTATATTTCGAGCGCCACACTGCACCGTACTTATGTTAGTTACACCAAGGATTTATCCATAACTGATAACAAGTGCGTCTCTGGAGAATTTTATAGCTCCTTTTTAAATTATTTGATGTTGCAACCACTCTTGTCATCTGCAAAGTTAGTGTTATTATTTGATTTTAATCAATTGCACTGTTTGTCAGTGCCCAACCACTAGAGATAATCCTGATAGCTGTTAAATCAGACCCCATTGTATTTATCACATATTGTATCCTTACAATTCATAATTATAGTTTTTTATTGCTCAATCAAATAAGATAGTTCAAAAGTGTCACTTTCAAGGTAACCAGTTTACAGTACTTCACTTTCCATCACACAGGTTCATGTTTTTAAGCAATAGCTGATGCTTACTCATAAAGTTAGTTGAGATGCACGTACATCGTAAACCCTGAATGTGTTGATTGGTAGTTATAAATATCAGATACGGAACTCAAGAAGACTTCCTTTCATGTCAAAACAATTGCATAAAAAAGCCTTGTTGGGTGCTTCGAATACTTGATAAGTGATCAGTTATGAATGTATTTAATTGTGTTACAACGCTGTTAGTTTACTCGAAGCCTATATTTCCATGGCGTTTTGACTCTCCAGTGGTTTGTCACTAGTAGCCCCCAAATGCCCTGGTACGGCTCAGGGTGGGGAGTCAGCTCTCCGTTTCGAAATGCTCTCACATGGCCACACGTATACAGCCACTGCCAGGGAAGTCCTACTCACTGCCTTCTCGTGGCGGGGGTGTTCTTTACGAAATTGAGAGGACGAAAAGTGAATGTCCAGCGCTTTAACTGGGTTGGTGGATATGGAGAATCCACCTAATGGAGTTGGGAAACCCTGATTCCAAACCAATGGTGCACATGGGCTCGAGGATCCTGAGGTAAAAATGGCGTGTGAACCAATTGTTGGTCACCGGCTACCACGCAACTGCATCTTCTGATGTTGCTCCATTGTCTTGTGGATCAGACCTTTAGGTCGAAGGCTCCGAGTGAGGCCACCTAAGAAAATCACCTGCTTCGGTCTGCGCACCCGGGCAGTATCACAGCCCTCACACATCGAATGAGATTTGTGTGGCGCATATGTGTTTGGTGCCCCTTTGTACCAATATTTATGTGTTCAAATAAATAAATAATAAATTTTTCACCAGTGCTGAACGTCGTTCGCAAGGTTTAACCAGTGTAAAAGTCGTTCATGTTATCTGTAATCTATTGTTTTCACAACTTGGAAATCCTGTTGTGCGTTAGTTTTTCCCAAAACAGTTGCTCGTCGTTTTTAAAGATGAATTAGTCTCTGATTTATGGCTTGGTAAGCAAAAACAATCCTCGTGTTCTTTCTAGGGAGAAAATACTGTTTCACTTTCTTTGCTTCTCTCACCGTGTTTCGTTCCTGTAATTTGTCTTTTTATTCCATATGATTTTTCTATATGCAGGTTGGTAATCTACCTCAGTCAAAGTTGTACATAACGCAAAAATCCAAATTTGCAGAAAAGTATGGCATACTTTTGTCTCACATGCGATTTCCATCACATATACCTGAGTCAGTGGTAAGATAGATTAACAAAGAAGTTGATGATAATAAAGCTTTTAGATTACGTTTATAAGTTGAATTCTGATTCATCAGTGCACGGTATCACTTTACAAGTAAGTTGTTTAACTATGATTCCAATTGTTACTTAAACCAGCAGTAAAATAGTTGGGCCGATTGACCACTTAGCTTATATTTGAAGTCTCATCAGCCATATTGGGTTAGTGTTTAACAAAATGTCGGTCCAAATTCAGAAGGTTTGCTTGGCTTTTGTCACCTTGTTTTACCTATGGTGTGGACTAAATAACCATCACGTAACTAACAAATGAGTATACTACTTAACATTTTTCTCTTAACTTCTGTTTGTGATGCGTGGCCCATAAGGTAAGAGTATAAGATGCTTGTTGACTATTGTTACTGAATCAGAGATGTATCCGAATCATTTTTCTTATATGTTGAAACCACTGAGTAAACATTGCTGAGGTTAGGCTCAGGGTATTAAGATGTCGAATTTGTTGATATGATTGTAAGTCTTTATTGAGTGAGTTGTTTGGGATGTGCTTTTCGTATCCTCGACTACTACTTACCTCAATGCTCTATGTTGGCCGACATGAAAGTAGAAGGCTATGAGTGACCAAACCAAAACGTGACATCAGTATGCAAAGTCATTGACTATTGGTCTCAGCCATATTACGTGGTTGGGATCCGCACAACCATAGTAACTATGAATTGGAGACTGGGTGACGTGGCTCAGAAGTGATCTCAACATCACAGATTCATTTATTTTTTGTCCTCCCTTACACAATTAGCTTCAGAATTATTTTACCCATTTTATTCCGTCAATTAATTCTTTCTCTGATCATATTGTCCATACTTTATATTTTTCACTAGCGCCGGTACTTCTACTAATTTCTTATTCACCTGTATACTTATATCTCTTTATGCTGATATTGTGTGAATGTAGATAGGGTCAGTCAGCTACAACATAGGACCAGGCGCACATATGCATCGGTGGATAAATGCAGATACTTGCCAAAATACAAATTTTCTGTCTGACCGATTAACCATATACGACTTTTGTGACATTTCCGATTTACTGGCAGATATTTTAGCCTGGGCCTCGTTTGGTTTGGTGACTTGATCACTAGTATTTGGGGTTTCTATGTACTGACATGTTAGCTTTAATTTAGCCTTCCTTTTCAATACAGCTTCTCCACTAGACTCAAAACATTTTCCAATAAAAAAATCAACTTCCTAGATTGTTAATCTCATTGTAAGTTGTCTATATTTGACAGACTTGTCGAAACACAGTGCCATGATAAAGTACTTCTTCAGTCTTGCTTGTTTTGCCATAATCCGAAGCAGTGTATAGCGTTGAAAGATGTTTGGAAGGGAGATAACGTTTAATACAAACTAGTTAATAAGCCATATTACAAAAACGTTTGGGATTTTAAAACTATGTTTGAAAACAACCGTTCAGTGGTTAACTGTACGAGCAGGGTACTGAAATTATTGCTCGAGCACCCAAAATTTCTGCAACCCTATATACCGACTTATTATTCAAGAGAAAAATTTACGTTTCCTCACCAAATTTAGTTAACATAATAAGTCTGAATAACCAGGGACTAACTGTATGTTTAGATGAATTATATCTGTCCCCAAATGTGTTAGTTAATTACCTATTTGTGACTGCTGTTTAAGTTAAGGTATTCTACTGGGCATAAATGTATACTTTCACCATTGTTATTCGGTTTCGTTCTACAAAAAAAACTAATGAGTTCAACGATATTTAGCCGTACATTTAAAAAAATATATTGCTCACATGAAATTACTGTAATCTACCCAAAGTGTACGAAATTCAAAAACTGTTACATATGGTATATTGTCATCAACGTCTTGAGTGAGTCTAAGAATAAAAAATAAAATGACGATAAATAAAAAAAATATCTGGCACACGACACTTGATAAAAATAATATAATTTGTCTTAAAATTAGAATATAAAGTACGTGAGTACTTAAAAAGTTGAACCAACCTTAGTGAGGCAGTGACTGATGAATTTTCAACGTGAATAAGAAAAGCATATTTAACTCAGTCTATCTAATAGATGTCATAGATCGTCGATGTACCACATGCACTTCAAAATAATTGTATGTTCTGTGACTACTAAGTAATGTTAAAGTTTTATGTATAAATGTTTCGTAAGTTAATGGATATTTTGTAGTTGTAGAGATCATATGTTAAAATTCCCAAATCATTGTCTACCCCGATATGTCCTGTTGGCTTAAGGAGATTTAGATTGGTAGTTGCCGAGAATAATGATACAAAAGCACTAGGTTGTTGTGTAAGTAGGTATCTTATAGATGGGACTCCTGTTTAATGATATTTATCTTAGCGTTTTATTATACCTATCCTTATTCTGTAATAATAGAATTTGGGGTCCCTTAAGTGACGTGAGTCAGTGGCATAGGTGTATTCATTCCTTATTCTTATTTAAATCCTGATCATTTTCACATTATTTGCTTTTCTTTTTTAACTCTTGTTTCTACTTTTCAGTATATTTCCATGCCTGCGTATATTCTTTGTTTACTCTTTTACGAATTATGCACCTACATATTTTTATGTGAACACTGATGTACATTAAGCATCAGACGTGTTTCATCCTGTGTTCTATTGACTGGTGGGATTTTCCCTTTCCAAAAAGGGATAGAGCTTTTAACAATGTCTACATTTACTTCTGACAAACTTTGCCAGAAAAATTTCCTGAGCATAAAAATAGTATCTTAGTATAAAAGTTATTCATTTTTGGTTAGTCACAATTCACCAAGCCAGTCATCACATAGCCATTAGGAAATAATTTGTTTGGTTGTGATCTATTAAAGTATTTTTATTCTAAGGGCGTTTAAATTCTAATCAAAAACAATTCTAGTGCACTAAATCGATCACTAAAATTGTGTTCACATTTCATTTCTATGTTTCTCTCCTTTTTTGAAGTTACCGTTTGATTCCGATTCAAATATTAATGTTACCAATTCACTGAATGCTGTTGCTACTCTCAAGGATGTTGAAGGGTACGTTATCTATTTATCCACTTATTCTCTTTGTATACCGTTAAGTTTTTTCCGCTAGTTTCTTTTTATCAGTAATCGGGAATAGTGTTAAACGTCAGTTGAGTTTAGATTTGTTGAAGAAGTCAATGTCCATTCATTTTTAATTACATTCGAAATAACTCTTCTGAACATTTTGCAAAATAACTTTGTATAATTAAACAGGTTATCATTATTTGTTTGACACTGAGATGATATATTATCTTTGTAATTGAAACTACCCCTCATTGCTTACTACGTGCTATGGTTTGTAGTTTCTTATTGTTGATATTAAGGGATGAATTCGCTCATTGTTGTAGCATGAACTTTCTAAAATGGGTATCTTTATTTAGAAGCAACAGAATCCTGGACTCACACTTCACCCTGCTAGGTATCATTAGTTGGATGTAATTCCATTCGGCGTAAGACCTCATTTGCTGTCAAAGAATAATGAAATTCCATTTGGAATATTAACAACAATCAAATAAAAACCTTTGAAATTGATAACAATGCCGTGCTTACTCAACTTCATATGTGGTCGAATGAGTGCGTTGATAAGTCCTCATTTGGATTGAAATTATAATCTCTGTCCCAGTTTTCATAAACTTAACGATCAGGGAATATAAACTAAAACGAAAGTAGGATTTAGAAGTATGTTGGTACAATTAGTCAAATGGAAAATACGTAAGTACAACCTTGTGATAATCAATAAGTAGGTATAGAATGATATATTATTAATTACGTGGTTCGATTGCCACGTTATTATTCAAAACTAAGTCAGCATCTAGATATGAAGCATGATAATCATAATATTCGTTTATGTCCCTACAACAGATTTTAAACCTTTCCATCCAGAGTCTGCAATTATTCAGTGTTTTGAGAACCTCAACCTGACAAAATGCAGACAAAAACTGCTCATATTTTTGTGGCTCTCCAGTTACCTTTTTTGAGTGAGAATGTTGTCAAATCGATCGGGTATCTACGTATTTCTTTGCCAAGTCATGTCTTTTTGCGGTACATTTCGAATGAATAACGTGACATTTAAACAAGACTGGTCCATTATTGGGTGGACTATATGTTTCTGAAATATGTACTCAGGTTGGCAAAAACATTTGTGACTGCATAGCTTTATTAATTTTTAATTCAATCGGTAGGTCGGTAGGTTATTTGCTCATACGTTTTCTTTTTATATTACAATTTTTAATGTTCTTAGTAGTTGATGTTTAATTTTTAAATAATCTCCAGTGTTTGTTTTTGTTGGTATCAAAGGAAATACATCAAATCACATTTTTCATTAGTTGATATATGCTTGCCAACGAACATCACTTACGTTACGGATGTTCACTTTATCGCTACATATTCCAATCTGTACGATAGTTTTTAAAAAATTTATAGGCCTAAATTCCGCGTAGTTTCAAGGAAACTGTATTTTTATTCAGTTAGTCTTAAAGACTCACTGATAATTTCCTTGTGTCTTAAAGTATATCATACCTTTTATAGACACTTATCTTCGTAGCAATTTTTCTGCTTGTTCTTTACCTTTAGTCTAAATGCTTATAATACAGCTGTATTAAGTCGTGGGGATATACTATGTCCTCACTGTGAAAACGTAAAACAACAGCATGTTCATATACCTTGTACAGCAGCCGCATGCTATGCTTTTATTCGTCATGTTAATTTTCCTATAATTGGTTCACGCTGTGTAATCATTGGTGGTGGTCGTCTTGTTGGAGCACCCACAGCGGACTTGTTGTCACGGTCGTGCGGTGCAACAGTTATACAATGTCATATACAGTCAAATAATATTAACGAAGAAATTAAGCGAGGTGATGTTGTTATCTCAGCAGTTGGACATCCAAGATTAATAAAGGGTGAATGGATTAGACCAGGAGCATTGGTAATTGATTGCGGCTATTCTGTTCTGAATGGTAAGTGGAATAAAATCTGTTGTTTTAAGCCTTAATATGTCTTTTTGTAAACAAGTTTTCACGTAACTGAATACTATAAAAATAATTACCTATAATTTCAATACCATTACTTTCATGCTTGTTAATTTACGTTCACTGAACTGCTAATGAAGTATGGCAATTTGGACTGACGGTTTTTCGTTCTAAATTGTACAACTCGAATATGTGATGGACATTGTGGATTGGTGGTGTGCACGAGAAAATGATTCAGGAAGAATATGTTATACATTGGTTATTGATGTACTTGTAATAACTTGAAGGACGTAAACTGTGATATGTATGGTTTGCTATTAGTGGTATGGGGACGGTTTGTCATTTCCCGGTTGCCTACGTCATGAAAGAATAATTTTCCATGGGTGATATGAAAAGGAATCTGTCTTAGTAGTTAATTTAGCTACCTGAAAGCGTAACCACAGAGACCAAGAGACAACTACTTGAGGCCAGCCACATACGACCACTTTGTGGTCAGATTTTTATGTGTTAGTTCCGTACATCAAAAAGCCTTATCACTGGATTCAGAAATTCTCTGGGTAGTATGAGGTGTGACATTTTAGGGTCTACCTTTCCCAACCTCCTCTCTTTATTGGGGATGATATTGTGGTGTATGCTACTGTATCATCAATCGAAGGTAAATTGCCTGGTGACAGAAGGTTAAGAAGATCAAAGAAAAGAGAACGAGAACAGAAAATAATTGGTGTGGAAATGAAGGAGCAGTGAAGTCTGAGACGATTGATTAATATTTTGCAAATGAAGTATTTACTGTATGATTCTCAGATTTTACCAAGAGATTTTGTGCTGAAATACATTTGGTTGTCCCCACTTGTGTTCTCATTCAATACAGTATCTCTGGAGATTCTGTTTGTTTGAGGGAAACACCTTAAAGCAACCACATCCGTGTAAGGTTAGAAGAATAGCTTCTCCCTCTTAACCTAAGTTACTAATTTTAGTCTTGCCGTTCCCCGATCTACCTGCTTGGTATGGTAAGTCATAAAGGGTTGTTTCGTGCAATATATGTCGAATAGGTCATTACGATATGTTAACCCCTACCACGGTGTCAAGATAGCAACTATGGTTTGGTTCAAACTAATTATTATCAAATTTAATTCGTCAATTATTAGTGTAACTCCTTTACTGAATGCAGGAATTTATGTACTAAGCTTTGAGCAAACTGTTTGTATAAGGGCTGGTAATATTACCCAGCAACCCAAACCAGAGTAATGGAGGGCGGAGTTTGAACCTGTAACCTATTGGATGGAAGCAGAAAACTTGTACTACTAAACTGTTATTATCAGAATTTGTTTGTTTACAGGTTCACTAATTCTACTGAATGATCTGAAACCGAACATTTTAAGCAACGTTATATAAATATCCATATTTATCATTACAATTATTGTTATTTCCGTTTAAACAGATCCTCAAAATCCAAACAAATCACGATGTGTCGGTGATGTAGAATTTGAAACAGCTATAGAAAACGCGAAGTGGATTACACCAGTTCCAGGTGGTGTTGGTCCAGTTTCAATCGCTATGTTATTTCGTAATACTGTGAATAGTGCTAAATGGTCTGTAGGATTAAATAATTCCATATGTTCTTGTCCAAATTATTGTGAAAACGATATCCTATTTAAAGAGCATGTTGATAGAAAAGTGTCTACATAAAAATGATGATAGCTGTCTTAGTTAATCTAATCAATGGATATTGTTTTTTAGTTAAATATATTCTGTACTTATTCAGTTATTTTGAAGAGATTCTAAACTATACATTTATTGTACATTTTTTCTACTACCTTATATTCATTAGCGTTTTGCTAATCGTAATATAGGCGAAAGCGATATTAAACTCTATGTCACTTATTTGTATACTCAATTATTATTACTTTTAAGTGAGTATTTTAACTTCGTGCAATTAGCATCTTGTGATGTATAATGTAAAATAACCCAACTACATAATAAAACATACAGTTCTTGTTGTTCATATGAAATAAAAACATATTTTATGTATATCGGTTCAGTTTTCATTAGTTCTGTTAATATGTATCATATTTTCAGGTGTTGGCTGTGTGACTCTGATGTTCGGATTTGTGCAAAAATTAGTAGCCACAAGGAAATTAAAGAATAATTACAATTGGCCGATCAATCAATAGTGATCAATATCTTGTTTGTATAAGCGTTTAGTGTTGATCGAATTCTGTCAACCAGGTTACCGTATGAACACTAGTGTGACTTGACTATGGTGAGATGTTATGTGGTCGGATGTCGTGACCGAAATAGGTCAGTGGTAACATCTCAGAATGTAAATCTAGGGGATGCAGGTTAAAATCCCACAGGTAGCAGCAGTTCCCTAAAGATTGCAGGTACTTCGTAATAACGTGTGTCAAATGGCACGAAACCTGGTTCCAGAGTTTCCTGTTGACTACCTTCAACCACATAGCATCTCAGAATAATATCAGGAATAATGACTCTTGAAAAGTAACCATTCATTCATTAGCGAACGAATATGATGTTTTTTATTCATTGTGAGGGTCTTTATTACTCTTAAATATTAAAGACTAAACCCAACTGGGCAATTTCAAGGGTTTTTGTGAATGTGCAGTTTTAAATCCCGACCTGAATTTATAAACATTTGTAACCAATGAAAAATTTCGTATCCCTCGGATAAGTTGGTGGCCATCATGACATTGACGTTGAAACAGATAAGTACTGGGTGTAGAACGGTATCGGAAACATAGTAACAAATGAAAAGTGGGAATAAGACAATACATATTTCTTGATACTGGCTGAAAGCAATCAGGTAGATCAAATGATACAGTAAAATAATTTACTCACAGTCAGATCTGAATATATATATTTCACTTTTGTAAAATGAAATCGGGTTTAAAATTGAACTTCATCGGTGATTCACGTGTCTGGAATCGACTTAACAAAGTCCGTTAACTTGGTGCGATTAGACCTTGTAGATTGTTTTTAATGAATAGTCAAATTAAGAAGTTCACATTTTTATGGCTAATCAAGCTATGGTGTTTCAGAACCTGTTTGCTCGAGTTGGCTATTAACTCAGTTGACTAGAATGGTTCAACACAAGAATGTAGACTGATAGACGGACATAAGTGTCTGAGATTAGTATCTTACTATTTATGCACACAAATTAATTTAAGGACGTAATCTTCATGCAGTATGTTCCTGGATATTTCACCAGATGCTTTGTTAAATATTTTATTGGTATTATCACCAATAAATCTCACTGTCACTTATAAAGCGTGTTCATGATTCGTGGTGGGTCATTCCCTAATTTAAAACAGCTACCGATGGAGAATAACCGGTCGTGTAATTTAGTTAAACTACGAAATAAAGGTTCCCATTCTTTTTTGTCACATGCTATTAAGCTGTCGTAAGCTACGTAAATGTTGCACTCCTAGTACGACAACCGTTGTTGAACGTTTAGAGAAAATCTTACTATCTAATTGCGTCTAGAATTTTCACCATTCTTGTTGTGTGATGTATGGTATGAATCCTAGTAGTTCAACAATGTCACTACATCCATTCTATTTAATGGATGGGCCGTGAGCAATAGAAGTATTAAGACTCGTCAATTTCTGTGACTGTTGAGTCACAATATTAGTTTGGTAAAATAATTGAAAAGTGTGTCACACTATATCGTCAAGCACGTATTATATGCTACTAACAAAAATTTATCCTTTAAATAAAGCAGAGATCACAGGAAATAATCAAACTTGATGTGCATCACAAAGCAATGAATAGTAGTCGTCAACGCGTGGACTTTTTATTTTAACTAATAATCCTCGGTTTAACATCTACACCGGTAATTCCTCAATCTACATTTTTCGGATTGTTTTAAGACATTATTTGAAAAATAATAATTTAGGTCATTCAAGTTTACACTAAAAATATTTATATAGGTCATGTGGCCTACTTACAGAATTGTTTCTTTTTCCCATCTAACGTTTGGAAGCATTTTTCGAAAATTGATGTCCCTTTTACTCAGTAACGGTATGTTTAGCCAATACTTCAGTCGAAACTTAATTCAAATGACAATTTTTGTGTAACTGTGGTACATACATTTTAAGTGGCTCAAGTAATAGTTTGCACTTGTTGAAAGGATACAGTCAACGTGACGGAAGTGTCGTCCATATATTTGTTAAATTAATTAATAACCGAACCGAGTTGGGTGTTTCCAATGTCTCCCATCCCTCCTTAGACTTTACGTTAGAAGACGATAGTTGCACCAGTCAGCAACAACGTGGGACCAGGCACATATATTCATCGTTCCAAATTACCATAACTCATTAGCACAAGATGAACACCGACTTCATAGAAGTAGTTAATACAATGGTGGTAATATACAAAAGAAAGATTGCATATAAGAATATGTAATTTTAATCTCACGATTTAAGGGAACACGAAGAGTGCACACACCACCATTGTGGTCAATTCTGAGCCATGTCACCAGTAAGTAAACACTAAAATCTATAACAGACTGGCGCTGGCCGTATTCACAAGCCCCCATTGAAACATTGCTGAAGTTGACTGAGGCTTCTTAGATCTTTGGGCTCATAAGAAGTGTTTATTTTAGATACTTTAATTCTTGAGACACCTCTATAGTTGGAAATCCCACATATGTTATATAAGGATGCAAGCCAGGTAGTCTTAGAAAATGCTCCCGGAACCGATTAATATTTGTTGCTGCGCGCTTCATAAAGCATTCCAATTAGTTTACAATACCGAGAACAGCTATGTGTTTTCCAAGTCTGGTCTGCGTTAAACATTCATTCCCTGATTTTGCTGTAATTGTATAGGAATGAACAACATATATTCTTCACTGATTGAAATCATTAGTCAATTGAAGCTAGACCACCATGGGAAACCTGGAAGTACTGGACGGCCGTTCCATCCTAGTACGGGACTCCTCAGCAGTGTGCATCCACGACCCCGCGAGACTCGAACCCAGCACCTATCAGTCTCGCGCCAGGCGCTTAACCAATCAGACCACTGAGCCGGCATCCAACGATATTAATGTCTAACTTCAACCAACCCACGAAGTTGCGCCATTGTCTCCAGTGAGTTGATATCTCACAGCAGACCTGGTTGAACTCCACTGGTAACGGCTTCTCACTAGAACTCCAGGAGTATCTCTTGAAGTCAGTCACTAGTGAGCAGACTATGGTGGTCTAGCTTCAATTGACTCATCATTTCAATCAGTGAAATTTCTAAAACCACAAAACCCCTTCTGATATATATTTTTGTCACCGATAGTATTAGCGTTACATAGTCAGGTAACTGTTCAGCTAAATGAAGATTTCCTTTCTGTAATGAATAACCACATATAGTAATTACAAAATTAAAATACGTATTGCTTAGTATTGTGCGCTATTTAAATTACAGGTTGATATCATTTATGAAACCTAGTGAAGCGATATAAATTTAGTGGAAGGTATTTGAATTTCATCGATTGACGAAATTGTAAAACTTTCAAGATTATTACTATTATTAACATTACAAACTTCAACATAGAACAGATTTTCACTACAAATTGATGGATAACCATTAAAAACCAAGGGGTGCAAAATAACTGATCTCTCGTAGTTCTGGAACCCTGAACACTACACACTGTAAACATCATACATGGTTGGTTGAGAATTTTCAAGTCATGATAACTCACGGAGTCTGTCTAATTTCTATCAATGCGTAGTATTGCATGACGATTTGGTGTCATCGAAGATAGCTATATCGCCTACCGATTTAGATAAACTTCTGATCACAGGTTTTCACTCCAACTACAAGGATCAATCTCTAAGCTAATTACAAATGAACGATTCCTCCAAAATCCCCTCATAATAATTCACTGTATCTCGTACATTAAAATGAGTCTGAAATAAGTAACTCATAGAATGACACAAATATTGAAAGCCGATTAAAATGATAGTACATCGTTGTTTTAAAAATGTATATCTATAAGTCAAAAGATTATATAATTCTTGAACGAAGAAAACTCTGTAATATTATTACCATGAACATTTTCGAAATGCGCAAATATCTACGCCAATAAAATTGAATATGTGACCAAGATAGAGTTCTTTCCCTTTTTATCTTTTATGTGTTCTGTTTTGAAGAAAAAACATCGCTAACATTTAAAGTAGTTTGAACTTTAACAAATAAACTGACCAAATTATCTAGATACTTTCATACTGCTCTGTAACTATAACATACATAAGACAAGTAATGTAATGATAGAATGTGGAAAAAAATACGAGTAAACTACACAAACGAAAGAAAGAAATAAGTTTCCTAGAACAATAATATTAATGATAACAATGACAATAATAATGAAAATGATAGTAAAATATAATCACATGAGTCATTGAATATCTGCAATAATCATATTTCGATTGAGTTCGAGGGCAATTGTTTAATGAATAGATGAGTAAGTGAAGAAACAAATGATATTAGGCGTATAGAATAAACTGATAATTATATGTCTTATGTTGAGGTTGGAAGTGGATTTCCTTCAATCTGTTATTGAATAGTTTCTGATAAGGCCGCCCTTTTCAAAGCTGCTTCAACAGCTTTCCGTCGAGCGATAATTGACTGAAAGAGGGAAAAAAATGAATATTATTCGTCACTGCCCTAATGTTCGTTTTGGTTTGTCATTAAACAATGTGATTTGTTGACTATTCATATATTTGAGTATCATTTTGTTATATACACTTTCGCACAATTGAATCATTTAATTAATTTGACTTTGATGGAGTTTTGTTCTCTGAGTTGGATGGTTTGGTCGTCGAGCTTTCATAGCTCTTCTGAACGACATCATCGGCACAAACTTCAGATAGAAATTCGAACGCTTCACTTCTATCTAAAGTTTGTGCTGATGATGTCGTTCAGAAGAGCGATGAAAGCTCCACGACGAAACCATCCAGTTCAGAGAACAAAACTCCACTAAAATCACCCACCTGAGCTACAAATCTTCTCCACCATCTCAAAATTAATATGACTGCTGTACTGGTGATATTCAAATCAAGATCATTTTAAGTCAATAATATAAACTCACCTTATGTGTTTTATAGACTGTTAGAAACAGAACTTTAAATTCATTTCAAATCGATCAACAGAATTATTAACTCAGGATAGTAATGCTGAAAATGTAACCCTTTTATATTGCCAAGACTTAGTCTCGAATACTCTGTCGTTCATTCTGTGCGACTCAATCAGTATAGTCTTAGAAAAGAGGTGAGTAACTGAAATTTATTTTCAGTTATTATTTAGTGTTAATATCATTTTCGTCATTGCTTATATCAACAGCATTAGTTACTAAAATATTACCCATTTAGATGAATCATTCACCAAAAATTTTCAAATGTCACTTTTTTAGGTTGACAATTATGAAGTTAGTTTCAGTTACAAACAAATAGTAACGACGGAAGCAATCAACATAGAAGATGAAATATGATTTAGATCATACGTTTTACAAACTGATCCAACACGTAATTAGACCAGAAATCCTGTCTCTAATACTCCTAGAGAGTAATGGAAGACAACATAATAATATCACCAAGTACTGTATTTGTTTGTCAAACAATCACATTTATCTGATTCTCATTGCTTAAAACTGTAGAAGCGTAATGATCTATCCACCAATCACTAATTATACGACATTAAGAATGATGTTAACAAATTACATATTTTAAATACTTGGTCAGTCGGTTGTTTTAAATGAATTAGAGTAATATTTAAGCAAAAATCTAATATGTGTGTAGAATTTCGAAAACCCATAAATTAACTAACTTTACCGAGAAATATTGCACATTACTGAATTATATGCTTGTTTTATTCCTGACACAGATATATTGACTGTCCATGATCGTACATGGAATGGTCCACTCATTTTTTATGTGTTAGCGAACGCTAGTTATCAGTTCTTTGCAAAACAAATATCAATACAGAGCGTTTCACACTTAGTAACTCTAAAATATGCACATTCCTCTAGCCACATGTAACTAGTCTAAAAGATTAACATAGTGTAAGCCAATTTAATCTCATTGCATTGTATTTGGATACCTAACAAAATATCTTATAATAAAGATTGTTTGTCAAGTAATATAGTTTCTCTAGAATAATTGAACAACAGAGAATAGTGGGTGGTCAAAAAGTAGCTATTATACTTCCAATCATAAATTCAGGTTTGTCAGATTTATCAGTTATATTTAAACAGCACAGTAGAATCTAATACTCTACAAGATAAACAAAACTAATACATTGATTGTTGGCGTATGACAAACCCAACCTGGATTTCAATACCAACTGAATAATATACTTCATTTAAGAGTTGTTTGTATTTAACCGATCAATTAGTAAATCATGTCAGCTGAGATCAGTTACCGCAAGTTACAATGAACTTGGATTACTTTTAAGACGGCTTAGATTATTGTCTTTGTAAAAAAAACCAGGACCAACCTCGTTAACTTTATTTTGAGACACTGTATTTTCACGAGTACTGGGTTTAATATTAGTTAGATGCTTAAGATCATCTTCATCGTGGTTTTCATTATTAAGTTCTGATGAACAACCTTGCTGATTGGAACCAGGTTGCAAAACGGAACGTTGATTTCGTTGATTAACTGGAGCATTTGTAGTGCGATTAGTAGAAATGGTAGACGTAGCATAAGTTGAAGCAGCTGAAGGTTTAGGTCGACTGCGAGTAGTACGATTATTCTGTGTATCGGAAGCAGTCCCAACAACAGAACTCTGATTGGTTATCTGATTTCTATTGGTTGTTTGCGAAACTTGTCTGGAATTCGATGGACGATGCTAATAATTATTTCAATGTAAATAAGAAATGCCACTTTGAAAGAATAATAATTATTAACAAGTGAAATCCTAAGAGAGCGTCTAATAATGAAAACATTTCTTTAAGAGAAAATGTAGGAAAGTGTAAGTCATACATGATTTTATTCAGAGGATATATAAAATTTACTAATCGTGGAAGAGGATATTATGAACATTTAGCTTACACTTTGGTTTTTTTACTGGAGCACAATTTTAAAGTGGGAAATGTAACATGAAAGTAAAATACCATAAAAATGTTATATTTATATACACTTTTTTGAAGTGAAAAACTTGGTTGAAATACAGTCATGAGTAGTTTCGACGTGTATATTATCTACTCACCAGTTATTGAAGATTAAAAAGTAGGAAATCACTGAAAACAAAGAATTATAGATTGTTTATGGTAAACAGAATCGATGCTATAACTACCATAATGTAGTTACAATTAAACCTAGTCTTATATGCTGATCCCTAAGATACAAACAAATTCCTATTAACCTAACTCCATCATTCGTAGTTTTAGAAAACTCTTCATGGTTGAGAGATTCTAGGGTATTATGGTGATTTTACTATGCAAACTGAATGTCATTCAGATTTTGGAATGTAACGAAAAGTATGTTACGGAGTCATAGGAGTAATCATTCTTTATTACTAACTGGTAACTCTATATTTCACTTTGAATGGTTAATCGAAATGAAAGATTTAGGCGAATATATGGTTATTTAAACTAGTAGTCTGGCGACGAATGGGTTAAACGATAACGCAGTATTAAGTGTCCATCAGGCATAGAATAATTTCACTCAGCTAAAGCTTAAAAATATAGTGCATTCAAATTAGATTTCTTCTACTGTTTTCAAGGGTGAATGATTACAAAATTAAATTACTTTTAAACGATTGCTAAATAAATGATACTCTAAAAAAAACGATAGCGATATATTTACAAAAATCTCTCACTCACGAAACTATCACAGTCTCATCATTAGGTACGATAATCTAATAGAAATGTCAATTAAATTCATTCCTTTTATCAGGCTGAGAAATGTATATATTGATGTACATGATAAATCAAGATTATCTAAAATTATGACTTCATTTGGCAATATTCGTTGAGTAGGTGATATCCATAAATTTATTTATTTATTAAGAACTTACCACATAGGATGAATAATCTGATTCAGTACTGTAAACGGACATACATTTATTAAATCGGTCCATACCTTCAAGGTTCGATTTTGAAGTTGTCGTCATACTGAGAAACATGATGTTAAGTGATCTTTGAGTCTTCTTACGAACGATCAGTCACGCTTGATAGTAACAACTCAGATCAAATAAAACATGTTTCAATGTTGGGTGTCATTTGTTTACTACTTTGTATTCAATGCACCGAATAGTTTCTATGACGGTTTACGATTAAGTCGGATTGCATAAAATCCACTTTCATATTCAGTAGTGTAGCAAATACAAAACCGAAGGAAATCAATGTTCATCCATATAATACAAGCGAAACTCTATTGATTGTAAATTTAAATGAAAATTAAAAAATCTTGTGTATAAAGAGGGTCGTGTACCTGTTCTTGAACATTTGAAGTTGATGCACCTGGACGTGAACGAACAGCTCGTATGGGCGTCGGTTTCGAAGTTGTCCCACTATTTGATTGAGCTCTCTGTCGCTGACGGTTGCGTTCTAACCGAGCAAGTCCAGCACGAACACCAGCACGACATTTCGGACAAGTTGTTGACTGTTTTAGCCAGGCGTCAATACATTTCATGTGGAATGCATGTCCACAAGGAAGATGGCGGAGGCGATCTTTATCTTGATATTCAACTAAAAATAAGTGATGCAATTATTTTCCTCTGAATCAGTGTAGAACTCTCAACCAGTTCAATAATCTATAACATTCTAATTTATAATTATTAACCGTCCATTGTCCAAATGACAAAATGTTTAGTAAATCTTGTAATTTGCTCAAAATTGAGATGAATAACAAGTTACAGAGCTCAAATAATAAATTTGGTATCAAATCCCAAAGCATTTCTTGCAATAGTTTACTTGGGGATTAAACGGATTTAGTTTGTTCTTCCTTGGAATTTTGAATAACGTGGGATATCACAAAATACTTAATTATAAAATCAGTTGGACCCAAAAATTATTTTCATTATTCTCTTCTTCTCTAACCCTATAATTATTATTCAGCTCCTTTTGATAATTGAAATCTCAAATCACTTTATGACGCGCTCCTTTCTATAGACTTACATATTTACCAAGCAACTATAAGTACGAATGTACAGCTTAAGTAAATGGTTTCGTTCAAATGAAAATTTTCTTCACAAAATTTATTTTTATTCACTAGGAATAATAACAGTACTTTTTGATTCAATGAAAATCCCTCTCTAAGCTGTACATAGGTTTAAATAATTTGGGCAGATATAAAAACAGCGTTGTGTTCCTTATAATCATGTGAATCTATAGAATTTCTATTCAGGTAAATAGATTTGAGACCTTAAGTACATAAGTGTACGTATATTTAAAGTACTAAGAAAACTTTTCAGGAACATGTTTAACCATTCACAATAAATCCGAACGTTTGAATACTGATAAAACAGAGGAAAATAATGACAAGTTTTTATTATTCAAAATGACCTAATGATTGACCTATGGTTTATATTAGAACCAACCTAACAACTAATGAAGTCCTTTCCATCATTGCTTGTTAATTTCACAATTCTTAAACGATATGTCATAATGGTATATGATTGTGAAAGTTGTTGAATTTTATTGAAATGGAGAACCAACAAACATAGGCAACCACAACGCCTCCACTGAAGAATCGAACCCAGAAGCACCAGTCCTAACTTAACGATCTAGAATTTAGGGATTGATGCATAAAAACGAAGATCATGGGTTCGATCTCTGGTCGCAGAATCGGTGCTTCATGCTGATGAGGAGTCCCGAAATAGGAAGAAACTATCATCTAGTACTTCCAGGATTTCAACGGTTGTCTAACCGAGATCGGTTCGTGATTTCAATCACATGTCATTATCTCATACAATTAGTTCCCTTTATGAAGTTAAATAAACCCAGAACAGATACTGATGCAGAATAATATGAATTCATCATTATTCCCATCAGCTGCTTACAACCAAATATGTATTAGAATTTTACATTGAGATAAGAAATAGTGTGGAACAATTGACATAAGTGAATGTAAAGGATTGGAATGACAAAGGTTATATATATATATATATATATATATATATATATATATATATATATATGCAAGAACAGGTCAGAGGTTATATGATGTTAGAATCAGGGAAACATTAAGGATGGGAGGTGTAACAGTTGAGTGGAGTTCAGAGACAGATAAGATAAATTTTGTGATAATTTTTACATAAGATTCACTGAATTAAAAACTGATAAGATGGGTTACGTAATAATTGAGTAGAATTTGAAGAGTTCACATAATTTAAGAGAATCAAATGAGCGGAAATTTGTGAGTGAAAGGGTGGTTTAAGAATTCGGTAATGGGAGAGGAGTATAACACAAATTAAATATTAACAAAATAAAACTAATGACCAAAAAAATATGGATTACCAGGGAACTAATAAGTTTATTAATGTCTCTTTTTGAATACATAGATCAGGTTTGAGTTTTTTTATCGCGAACGCTCCGGTAAAACGGGGAGGAGCCGTATTTCTTTGTCTGCAAATAATTTTAAAAGCATGAGGAATGTCAATGGTATACGCGGTGTCAAGTAAACGCCGAGCTGTCGCCCTGTTGAGAGCCCTAGTCCCTCGCAGCCTCGATTTCTTGGGAACATGCTCAGAAATGCGAGCATGTACTCTTCTCTCTGTTCTTCCAGTGTGCTCTCTCTCTCTCTCTCTCTCTCTCTCTCTCTATATATATATATATATATATATATATATATATATATAATCGTTGAATGCATGGTAAGTATGCAACTCTTTAGAGTCAGGTTCTTGTACCGTTTTCAATGCCTCCACTAATATTCTTTCCATAAATCGTATCACCTCCATAAACCTAACCAACTTTCACTAACCTATTAAATTTCTGAATTCATCTTACTGTCTTTCATTAGTTCGATAGAATATACGTAATTAATTATCTAAAAATCCCAGAAGCTATTAAACAACAGTAAGGGTAACAATGGTGACAGAAAATCAATATCTTCATGTGCAACAGTCTTCAATGGAAGACTAATATTAAAGAATTACGTGAAAATCTTACACTATTTTGATTAGAAGTGATTTACTTGACTGTTTTCCCAAATACTTAAGGTATAGTTTAATGAATTAAATATTAATCTAGTCACTTACAATCAGCTCATAGTTTAAATAGTTGAAATGAAGATTGTATCACACCATGTAAGTTACGTAACCAAAAAGATTCTTACATTTTTGTGAAATCAACGAACTGAATTGTTATGTATGGATTAGCTAGCATAATTAAATATCACTTAAATAAGAATATATTTTACAAAAAATCAAATGTATCATCGGTATAAAAGAGTGAATAGTATTCAACCATATAACGGACAAAAATATCACTCAGCTAACATGATAAACTGCCGGTTTTATTGATAGGGTCATGACCCCGAATAAGTCACAAAACGAAGGAAAAATAGTTCATCTAAGTGTAAATAATCCTGTTGTATTTTAATTTGAATATAAATAATGTAACTTTTACAAATAACTTGGTATGGGGGTTTGTGGAAATTGTAGTAATTTTAATAGTTCAATTCATAAGTTGATCTAAGCTAGACCATCGTTGGAGATCCGGAAGCACTGGAGTATATGAAACTCCTCAGCAGTGCGCATCCATGGTCTCTCATGCGAGACTCGCACACAGGACCTTCGGTCTGGCGCGTGAACGCTTAACTTCTAGACCACTGAGCCGGGATCCAACAGTACTAATGTCTAATTCCAATTTAGTAAATTATCTGTTTAGAAGAAAGTCAAAGATCCATGAGGAATGTAGCTCAGAGTATGATAAAACATCCACAATGTCTCAGTGCATGATACATAACTTTCTATATCATTTTAGGTTCCCGAAACGGATCAGTTTGGTTCTAGAGCAGTTTAATTAAAGATAATCTCTTTTTTTTCAGAGTATTTAAAACTGGCAATTAGAATATGAATGTTATATGTCAAGTTATTTATAACTTATATCACAGTAGTTTGTTAAATTAAAATGTATTAGCCTTAAGCAATCACAGGTATGTATATATACAGGTCAGTTTTAAAACATGGTTAATAATGCTTGGTAAGCAGTGAACTAATAGCTTGGTTGAAGTTGTCTACTGAGTAGAAATCATTGGGTTAGCCTATATCAACCCGCATGATTAGTCAAAAATGTATTTTGTTTAGAACATTTTAATATAATTAGGCAATTTATCTACAAAATTCATGTCTGTGATTACTTTATTATTTCCCTGTACTATAATGACCATAATTTGAAATGAACTATTGTAATTGAATTATAAGGTAGACAGAAATCATCTAAAATCTATTACTTAAAATTATTCATATGTGTACTTTGTGTACAGTAATAATATAGGGGAGAAAAATAAGAAGTTCCAAATGAATAGCTCACATTCTCATCATAAATTTACTATTTATCTGAAAAAAATTATCATGAAATATGAAATAATAACCACTGAAGCCTAGGGTAAATACCACTAAGCCAGTGTACATGCAGTCCGGCACGAAGCCAGGTGAATGCATCATTATATATTTTTGGGTCATGATAATGATTCTTCCGCAGGTTCACCTACGGAAACCTTGTTATGACTTTTACTTCCTCTAAATAGTCAAATTAGGTCATCTTCTCAGCATAAGTCGAGCGGCAAAACCACTACAACGACACTAATAGAACGACCTCACTAAACCATTCGATCGGTAGTAGCAACGGGCGGTGTGTACAAAGAGCAGGGACGTAATCAGAGCAAGTTTATGAATTGCACTTACCAGAAATTCCCGGTTCGCGGGGAATAATTCCAAGTCATGATGGTGATGAAACAGTTTGCCCAACCCTTTCGGGCTAGGTTTCCAGACTCGCTGGCACCGTCATCAGATATTGGACAAATCCACATAACTGATGATAGCCTTAATCTACCAATGTGTATAAATTATTTTACAGGTATTATATATAAATCAAGACTTCTGTAAACTGAGGAATGTGAATGTAGAACTAGATAGAAGTCAACAATATGATGGTTGGTTTTTATAGTTTGATAATAGAATGGTCATAGAGTAAGTACAAACGAACATGATTTCCAAATTAATCCCATTCCTATGGCTCCGGATGGTGTATGAATATTGATTTTATGTCACATGAGATTTCTACCAATCCTCCTCCAAAATAAAACTTATTAATACAAAACGTTTAGTTAAATCTTCAATGCCACAACACTCCAGAATTTAATACAAGGTTGAAATTCCACGGTATATGGTTCTATCGAACCGAATAAGTAGTATTGTTAAATCAAGAAGGATTTCACTAACATAAGTCTCATATTCATAAATATTTAAATAAAACTACTAGTAAAATTTTATGAAATGCTTCACTCAGTCTAAAACATTAAAATGAATAAAATAAGAACATACAAAATAATATATTGATTTTAATAGTCATGATTGATGACCAGGTAGGGAAATCAGCAAAAAAGAAGACCATTATGACATCTTACTTTTCTTATGGTTATTAACATGATGATTATTCTCTATTGTAGCTCAAAACGAAGATGATTCATTTCAAACTTAAAACACCTCAGTATTGGAAGAAAAGTGAAGTTATGTTAAATTAGAAAAAGAAATACCATAACTGAATAAGGCTTTTTCCGTCCTGCATATAAGTATAAAACTAATAACATAATTTACTTTTAACTCACTTAAACATATTTCACATTCAGGATGACCACGTGCTGGAGATGATTGTATTGGCTGAATTTGGACAAGAGTAGTTGTTTTTGATTCTGGTTCAAGATAATGTGTACCACCAGATGGTGTCATATTACTTTGGTTTTCATTAAGAACAGGTACAATATTAGGAGCATTTGATGAATTTGTAGTCGCATTAGGTGATGTAAATGTGTCTTCACTTGTTGATGAGGTCTTTTTAATTCTATAAATGCTCGTAGGAAGTTTTTTCAGTTCATCAGCATTCATAAATCCTAATACTTTAGGACGGGCAGGTGGCTCAGGCAAGAATGACCTACGAGTATTCGAGTCATACCATTGCAGTCTGGTTCTTTCGAATGTCACAGGATCATTATTTCTATGCCTAAATTTAAAAAGATAATGAGCTATTAGGGATAACTTTAGTAAATGGTATTTGATCTAACTATGATTCAAATGCTCACTTAGTAGATAATTGTTTGAAACATAGATTAGTGAGGATAACCTATGATCTGAACCAAATGAATCGTATAATATTACTACTCTTCACATTAAAAAAAAACACATTACCAACGATTAAAAAAAATGGAAGCAAACAGAAATAAGAATATGAAGATTTGTATGAAGCTAAGAGAAACACGTCGTAGTGCAAAATGAACAGTATTAAAAGAAAAAAAAAGATGAATACATCTACGCTAGTGTAGCCAATTATAATCTACATATTTTAACATATGCAACCAAAGATTTTAGGTATCATATAAATTGTCATTCAGAAGTATACCATTTCCTAATTATTTTAGGTTGAAAGTCGCACAGTTGATAAATTAGTACCATATTTCGATCCGACCATTTCCATCTCTTTCTGTACTAGCTAACAAAGCACGAGCAATTTGATTTTGGCTTAGGACTTGTTGCGAAATTCCTAGGTAAGTTGATGAAAGTACATAACATAGTCGACTAATCCTTATTTATTAAATGATCAACGATATTATGTTCTCAGCAAATAATTAGTTCCATTGCCCGTCATTTTTTTCGACAATTGGAAATCTGGCCATTTTCAACAGGCGAATATGTCTAGTGATTACCACTTGTGTAGAATATGAGAATCATCTTATTCTAGAAACATTATCTGACAGTGAATATTGTATTTATCAAAATGACTGAGCGGGATTTATAGATTAAGCGTGGTACTTTAAGAAATATGAAATTAATAAAACGAATGACTTTTGATGAACTAACAGATGAATATTCTTACTGTTATTGGTCTGAAAAAACCTAAATGTTTCAGTTATAATTAAACGTTCAAGAAATGCTTTTTTATTAAAAGGAACCAATTTTATCACTGAATTAATATCAAAATAATTTTACATTTATCAGCATGTGGATTTGTGTAGATTGTAGTATTTTTACAGTTAAATCTGTAGTGGCTTACGTTTATCACGAGAACACGACTGGTTTAATAAAAACAATTATTATTATAACCAACTGTACCAGTGTTTGTTTTAATGTGCTTTTGTTTAACTGTGCTAATTGTAGCCATTTTGTGCTTCCATTACCTTCCATCATTGTTCCGCGGTTTTTGGTACTGTTCGCACGTACTCCTGTCTTCTGCTTTCGCTTGTACCTCTTCTTGGCACGATCTCGGTATTCGTTCAATACCACGAGATCGCCAACGAAATAAATCTGGTTACATTCAACTCTCGCCTTCTGATTTATCTGGCACGTGTTTCCTGGTAGCGGTGTTCACAGTTAATCTCAACTCGACGCCACGCTACAATTGGTGACCCGTATTTTGGAACACGCCTCAGCTTCTGGTCAAATCTTCCAAAGAAGCCAATTCGGTGAGTCTATGATTTATCTATCCACGTCTGTCGTATATTTTCATATTTAATATATAATATACTCGACATGACGGATAACGATAAGAATAGTATTAATATAATAGACTCCCATTTATGTGTACCGAACTCTTGTTACTTTTTATTCGCGTGACGATGAATTCCACGCTTTATTCGAGAAATTTTCCCCTATTAACTATTCTCCTCGCTGACCCGGCTGTTTGGTACGGAATGCATTCGCATACGCATTAACGTCTACCTCCCAGCATCAAATGGTTAAGTTGAACGGTTTCATTGCCAACTTAAAAGTGCTCTACGAGCACACGAGAACGACAACTGGTACGAAACCTTATCGCTCGTCCCCTTAGGTATTCGAACGAGCTTGAAGGCAGATATACAATGTTCCGCCGCTGAACTGGTATACGGCACGACATTGCGTCTGCCCGGAGAATTCTTCACACCACGGAGCAGACCTGATTTCGGTAAATCAGACTACGTCCATCGACTGTCTGCATTTATGCGAACGCTGTCTCCGGTGTCAACTCGAATACAACATCGACAGGTCGCTCTCTCGAGAGAGTTATCTACCTGTTCACATGTTTTTGTACGAGTAGATTCGGTACGCAAACCTTGGCAACAACCTTACGAAGGCCCTTTTCACGTGATCGCTCGTCACGAAAAGACCTTCAAGGTTGATCGATATGGACGCGTCGAGATCGTCAGCGTTGATCGTCTCAAACCAGCACACGTCGATGACAGTGCCCTATCTGGTAACCTGAGATTCAATGCTAGACCTATCAAACCTAGCGGGATCCTTAAATCTTCTTCAGGTCCCACGCTAGATACATCTGAGACCTCATTCTCACGTCCCGGTCAACAGCACGCGTCATCTGCACCGTCTACGGACGAGACGATAGTCTCACGTCCAGATTAGCAGACCACGCCGCCTCTGACCTCGGATGAGATTGCAGGCTCACGCGATACGAACGAGACTGCCGTCTCACGTTCCGGTCGCCGAGTACGGTTGCCCGTACGCTTCCGCGACTAGTCGCACAGTCAACAACCGATACGGTGTAGGGTTATTCCTATGCTACATGCATGCTACACTCTTCTCTTTTTTGGCTTTCTTTTTGTTTCCTGAGCCCACGCCTTCGACCACCTCCGTTTGGTTCCGTCGACTTCAGTCAACTTTGGCGAAAGCTGGACTGGCCACCCATGCTCTTGTCAACGTACTCAGTCGATATATTGGTTTCGAATGCTTGGCATACGCTTGGTCTCGAACTTGGTCGTTATGGTCGCTTCTGGTTCATCGGCTCAACGTGGTTTCGTCCTACGTCTGCAGCGTTTCTGGTCCGGACCCCTACGAACGCCCTCTTCAGATTCTGGATACAAACCACTCTGGTGCAGCATGCCAACTCAAGCAACAAACACAGCACATCGCTCCTGGTACCGTTCTCCGAAAACGACCTTCGTTGGCAACTCGACGATCAACGATCGCTTTCCTGTTCGCCAATTCTTCCGTCCTACAATCGCTCGTCAGCCGATCAGTCCCACGATTCAAACCGCTATTTATCGAAAGCGTAAACCCTTTCTAGCGGGGGGCTCCTGTAGTGGCTTACGTTTATCACGAGAACACGACTGGTTTAATAAAAACAATTATTATTATAACCAACTGTACCAGTGTTTGTTTTAATGTGCTTTTGTTTGACTGTGCTAATGAGAGCTATTTTGTGCTTCCATTCTTTTACTTACACTTTGATTGTAACTTCGCGCGGATTCGGTTACGTTCTGTAACCAAGCTTGTATCCTGGCACGATCTCGGTATCCTTTCGATGCCACGAGATCGCCAGCAAATAAACATCGACTTGGTCCATCAACTGTCTTCTGATATTTGGCTTCTCGGAGATTTTATGGGTTTCTTTGGTTACGTTCAACCCTCGCCTTCTGATTTATTTGGCACGTGTTTCTTGGTAGCGGTGTTCATAGTTAATCTCAACTCGACGCCACGCTACAAATCCACGAGTAGATCTAAGCTAGACTACCATTGAAAACCTGGGAGTACTGGATGACTGTTTCGTAACAGTATAGCACTCCTCAGTAGTGTGCATCCATGCCCCCCACCACATACGGGACTCGAACCCACGACTTTAAGTGTCGCACACAATAAATTTTAGTAATCTTAATAGCTTATAAATAAAAGCAACAAATATACTCTTTATTCAATTAGACTGATTGTAATTTCATGTATATCATCAGTGAAAATGTTTAAGTCGGAATTTGAAGAAAGGTCGGACAAATTAATTTGTTAAATATGAAGAAATAAATTTAGCATTAAAACAACAGTACAGTTTTCATATGTAATATGAATATCGATATTAAGCAAGAAGTGGTCAAATTTTGATGGACATAAACTAAACTTGACTATAATTTGTTTTACAAAAATAAGGAAATGATGTACATTCACAGTAAATACCATATTTAGATGGAATTTTACCAAAGATTATCGATTACCTATTCTAGAATAAACTCTAATATATTTTAGTACTTTTATGGTATCCTGATGAGTACTATTTTGCTTTTAGTCATTATAAGCCCAAACCAATTTATAAAACCATTATTATATACCGAAGAATGTAAAATTTACATCAAGGAGATTTTTTTATTGTCAGAACGTAAGTGATCAATGTAAATTTTCACAGTAGCCTATGTAAAATTCATTCATCTTATAAAGAAGGCTATCTACAAATTAGTCAATAAATCGAGATAATTTTTATTGCATCTTAATAACTATGTCATATTTATATGACTTTTGATGACTTCAATTAAGAAGAATAACAAAAGTGAATCTGAATTCACTGTAAATTACATATTAATCAATGTGAAATGACCTTCATAGTTTGACCGACAAACTTGTTGCTTAGGTACCGTTTTTTACAGTTAATATTCAAGTGAAATTCGACTGATTTTTATTTATTATATTGGTATTTCATATGCATTTGTTTGGCCGCCTATTGAAGCACGTATGAAGGTGAGAAATATAAATTTTCTAGATTTCTTTAAAACAAATGAAAAATTACTTTAAAGAACCTTTTCATACTCTCTTATATGAAATCATAATGTATTCTTTCAATTCATATCGTCTAGGATATATTTTCCGGTTAGTGAACTTCTTCAATATGTTTAATTGATAAAGATAATTAACATACGTATCCAATTCAATGAATACTAAATTTTCGTATATTAACAATACTTATCACAAATAACTTTTAATCAACTGTATGCAAGCAACTTTACTGAAATGAATTTACTAGTACAAAATAATTCTTACTGATTAATTGACACAAATGAGGGTACTCATATTTAATCCAATTCCTTTGTAGAGTTTAAGGGCTAATGATGTTAATCAGAAGACTAGACCAAAGCAGTTTGGAACACAGTTCGAACCTTTTTTCCCTTCCAAAAATTGTGTTATAACCATTAGTACAATGTTTCCCACTAAATCATACTAGTGAAATCGAAGGTTCGGGTTAGATGAAGTATTTCTTTTTAAGACAGATGCTCTATTTATTTGAAAAACTTGTCAATTCATTTGGTGTATGAAGGTTTACGATATAATCAAATTTCAGAAATCATTCAAAGTCGAATTCATTTCTAAATATTTTTTATATATAAATTTATGATGAATGAAAACTATATGTAAATGAACTCAGAATCAACATAGAATTAGGGTTCTTATTTTGATTAGACGAATCTCCTCTATATATATGCATAAGGAAATGACAGTCAGCTTTCCTCACATATACGTCGAGTTATCACGAAACCACTATAAGAAATTACTCAAACTGCAAATTTTAGAACACAATATTTACTCATAATGCTATTAGAGGATATAAAAATCATTCATGGAAACTATATGTACTGATAAGGTAATCAGTGGGTTATTGTCAGTAGTAATCTTTTTTTAAAAAATGATTATTTCATATCTCAATTTACAAATTGATTGATCTAGAAAACATTATAGGCAAAATAATGTTTGTAACTTTAGTCAGTCAGTAACAATGTAGAACTTCCAAGATACGTACATCAGTTCGAGTTGCCACACCACATTAGCACAGAGATGCAGTTGTTAATTCAAATCTCGTAGTGGTAGAGGTAGTAAGAGTATAAGCAGTAATCAGAAAGATTAGTGTTTGAAGATGTTATTCAAGGAGTATAATCCAGTGAAATAAATTTGGAAAGAGAAAAAAAAGAGACAAGGAGGATTCAGGGGATTAGAATTTGGGAGAACACAAAGAGTGGTGCACCTGCGCCAGTGCAAACGATTTTGAGCCATGTCATTCAAGATCTCTAACCAACGGTTCAGTTTAACAAGACAATAAATAACTTTTGTAAGTCATAAACGAGTTGAATCAGTCAGACATTTTACTCATATTGTCTCTATTATGTAATAACTTTGAAAAAAAAGACACACATTGATAACAGTATTTTCATGACACTATGGTGAGCATAATTTACATAAGAAAATGAATTCATTTGATTTTATTAACCTCTATCATATCATATAGCTTTCTTTCTAAATTAAAAGTTGAAAGAAAAAGAGAAACCGAAGGAAGATACCGACTATCTGTTAATAGGTGATAAGAAGAAATCTCTAAGATTTTCAATATGTAGTTAACAAAAAGATTATCAGTTAACTATGCTACTGACAAATTTTGTGAAATAAGTTCGAGTACAAAAAGTAAGTGAATAGAATGGACAAAAATGTAAAATCTACTTGACATTTAACTTAAGTAGAGTTACATAGATAAGTTTAGATTTCATACAGTTTTTTTTTCCTCAAGCGAAAATCAGAGTTAACTCAAAGTAAAAAAATGTTTGTTTTAATCAACTATTGATTATGGTAAGAAAAAGTAACAATTCTATACCAAAACATATACTGTTTGGATGAAATAAATTTGAGACAAAGCTTGCGTTGATGATATTATCTAGGAAGGTGATGAAAGCTTCGAGATCATACCACTTAGATAGAACTCAATCCCACCAAAATGATATACTCTGCTTGTTGGAAATTTATGACATCTTTAACAAAAATCCTCCTTCTTTAAAAATAATTCTAGAGACTAAAATGAGTTGGCTAAACGTCTTCATTTTACTTTTAGAAATAAAGCGATAGAATTAGCCATCGAGCTACTTGCCCTTCAGGACCTTCACCGCTATGTCATGATAAATCAATATATGTCAGTCCTACGGAGCCATGTTGAACTTAATAATGCTATGTTATAAACCAATCACCTTTCTGCGGTTTCAGAGTCGAAGAATAATGCGATGTAGAAGCTATTGGAATGAAACTCGTTAAACATGCTCAAGCCACCTGATCCCGTATTAACATTAGTTAAATTATTATTTTCATGCCCAAACACACTATCGAACCTCGACGTTAATCAAACGATTGGACAGTGAAGCAGTGAAAAAAGATTTAAATTATAAAAGGTATTTACAGTTCTGACAAATACTAAGGTAACCTCAAACTTAATAAAAAAAAATAGGTTATGTTTAGATGTGCATAGAACAGGATGCATCTCTGTTGTGAACTCTGAAGTGTTATTTATACATCAGAATAAGTCAACTATGGTAGTTTAAGAAACAAGTTAATCACTAAGGTTCTAAATTCAAGCGTCATTTCAAACAATAAATCGCCTAACTAAAGAAATGAAAATTATTTCCTGACTGACTGGTTTACAAAAATAATAATCAGTAATGATGGATAATAACAATTAATTATTTAAAAGTCTCGTGATCCTTTCAGGAAAACGGACATAATAAAAATATGAAGCAATAAATGAAACACCACTGACAGTTTATGTAAAAGAAATACTTACGCACCAAAATTTTACGAGATAACACTAACCTGTGTACGCGTGAATTACCAACTATATCATTTGGATCGCTTAGCGTTACTCTTTGAGTACCTCGATCAGGTGGAATTATGGAAATATCTCTGAAGAGGATGAAACACGAATGACAAACGTTTAATAGTTAAAATACTGATTGAAATCACAAACTAGCTATCGATCTCTTAAATTGGGAAAAGTTGTTATCTGAACATGCGTAGACTACCATTAAAAACTATAAATGAGTGATTGAATTAAAAGTATTATGACTAGTCACTCTGAGCTGAAGAATGTGGTATACCTGATGTCACTGAACCTAGAGAGTGAAAAATTTAGATTTGTTTCATTTCAGTATCTCTACACCTAAGTATTCGTGCTAAAATTACTAGAGGCCATATCAAATCATGTAAGAAAATATTTCCCTCCTCAGGGATGTATGATAAAACTGCTTAAGAATGATTTTTTGTAAATAAGATGTAAATCAGTCCTTATAAATTTGTCGGGTTTTGTTTTCACCGAAAGTAATACAAGAATAGAGCAAAAATGTAGACATGTTAATGATCTTCTTTATCCAAGACAAAATAAAGCATATTGTTCATAGAGAATTTATTTATTGATAATTACTCTTGTCAAATACATCGTCAACTTCAAACTATATTGAATGCGAATCAGCAGTGTTACCATATGAAGGTCGAGTAACACTCTGATTGATAATTGTAATCAACATTATTAATTGGTAAATATAAATGCATACAACATGTATTGGTGAGAAATGAAATAACTTTATACATAAAACCATCAGTTCCGATCTGTTTGATCCTTCCTTACACAGTTTTCGTTTTACTTTTCAATGCTCAGATATAATCTTTAGAGAACCCAGGTTATTCTGTTAACAAACCAGTGGGAAATATTACAACAAGCAGGTTAGCCCTTTGCATTCTCAATAAGTTACGGGTATGATGGCTGATGTCACTTCCCGGCTGCCCACACCGTGGAAGGGCATTTCTTGAAGTATCTGAAAAGGAAATTGGATTAGTGTTGGTCTTAACGATCTGGGAGCGTGACCGCAGAGCCCAAGGGACAACTGCTTGACGCCGGTCGCGCACGGCCTTTTTGTGGGGGGTTTTTAGTATGTTAGCTTCGTTCTTCAAAGAGCCTTACCGCCAGAGACAGAAATCCGTGAGGTAAGGTGAGGTGTGACATTTTTAGGGTCGACCTTTTCTAACCCGTTCCTTCTTTGTGAGAAGGCAGCATCGCTGCAGATGCTGGTTGTCCGAGGGAAACACCTTACTGCTGTCACACCTCTCTACAGTCAGCAGTACGACTTCGCCCTCAGACCTTGATTTGGTGATTTTAGTCTTACAGTTCTCCAATCGACCTGCCTGGTATGGTAAAACCTACAGGAACATGTGCTCAGCCAATATAGCTCGGTTGCTTCATCACGATAAGCAAGGCCGACCACCACGTCAAGGTAGCAGCTACGGTCGGGGCATTCTCAATCTAATAACTGATGAATAGTGTGACATATAAATAAGCAAGATTTATAAAGGATTCCTTTTTAATTGAAGCTATTCTATGAACTATTTACAACAATCGCTTACAAAAAGTAAAGACGTGTACTAAAGGATTGGTTTACTTGGTTGGTATTGTTGGTATTTGATCGGTGTTAAAGTATTTTATGTGTGACATTTTCTACGATATTTATGTTATAAAATGATTGATAATCAAATCAATGTATGGGTCGGTCCTATGAACCATTTATATGCTCAAATCAGTTGATATGCCAAAATATTCCAACAAAAATAAAAAGGACTGTAGCAACTCACTTATCTCACTTTGTGAAGATTAGCTTCTTGAATTGTGATGAATTGTGTTTAAAAACTGAAGCAAATTATTGTTTTAAAATTGAGAAAAATGTGGTATTTGTAGTAAGTGATGATTTCTTGGTACTTGATTGCGCGCTGATTACAAATTCCAAATACAATAAATTCATTTGTACTTGTCTAGTACTCACTTACTTACATCCGTTACTCCTCGTAGAGGAGCATAGGCCTCCAACCAGTATTCTCCAACGAACTCTGTCCTGAGCGATTCCTTCCAGTTCTTTCCAATGTTATTCATCCTTTTCATGTCCGCTTCCAATTCTCGGTGCAGTGTGTTCTTTGGTCTTCCTCTCTTATTTTTCCCTTCAGGATTCCAAGTTGGAGCTTGCCTTGTGATGTAGTTTGGTGATTTCCTCAATATATGTCCTATCCACTTCCAAAATGCTTTTCTAATTTTTTCTTCAGCTGGAAATTAGTTTGTTCTATCCCATAGTAGCTTGTTGCTGATGGCTTCCGGTCAGCGGACACAGTTTCTCCATAAAGTGTGACTAGGTTGGTTCTCTATGTGTTGATTTAGGGATCATACCTTTCCCCTTGTATCTGTCGAGGCCTATTGATGCAGTGGACCCTGCTACACTGGTTGTTCCCACCTGTGTTTGTTCATGTGTATGGGATAGAAGAGCTAAGTCATTTGAGTGTAAAAAATATATGTATTCAAAAATCCATTTTCGTATTCGACTGACTTAATTCCGTTATTCACCAACGCGATTTAAGTCGATGAAATATACCAAAATAGTCAGGATGTATATTTCGACAGCAATAATTCAATGACAATCACTCATGCGATCCGATTGAAGTCAGACACCGGGCCACAAAAGTAACTATGTAAATTGTTGCTCTGGTTGCTAAAAGGGGTGTCAGCCTCAAGACTTCCGAACAATCTTGGAGGCGTTATAACTTCTGAATGAAGATCTTTCAACTCCTAGAGCAGAATTTAAATGGTTTAAATTGTTTATTCTGGTTAGGGTTGTTTCAGCAAGGTTATTTACTAAGGATTGGGGTTGCCGACCTCATCTCCAACCCTCCTCCTTTGCTTAGTCTTTGAACCGACAGTAACCCTAGAAGAGCTCATTTAGTACTACGTGCCTTAAATTGCACTACTCCGAGAATTCTTATCACATTACTTCGAATACTTCTAAGTACTACAGAAAACCTAAGTTTTAACCTTTTGATCGTATGGAACATTTTATTTAGCAAATTATGTACATGTTAAAAATAGTGTGAGAAAAACCATTGTTTTTTTCACAAGCCATTTCTGCTATGTTCACTTTATCAGTATCATTTCACTCAGGATCAAGATCGTATAACTATAGCAACTGAAAGTGATCTCACTGTAAAGTAAAACTTGCGAGTAAGATGTCAACAGATAGGCTAAGTTGAACAGAAATGCTCATGGAGGTGGCACATGAATATGAACAAGTCACGAAGATATCTTCAAAATTCTTTAGGATGAAGCAATTAATTTTGTTCACAATGGTAAAAATGAAAATAAAACGTGGTTATTCAGGGAAACATGAATAACTAGAACATACCACTTTTTAAGGGTTTTTTTTCTGTTTTATCGCACACAACTACAGAAAATAAATAGTTGACACTGGACATACAGATAAAGTGTCAACTTTCCTCATCTAAATTTCCAGAAGTTGAACTTCTACCGGAAGATTCACTTGTTGACTTGGAATATGCCGATGACATAGTTCTATTTGGCGAAGACGCTCACAAAATGCAGAGTCTTCTGACCATTCTAAGCAACAATGCAAGCATGTTCGGCATGCGATTGTCCCTCTCGAAATGCAAAATGTTGCTTCAGGATTGGGTTGCATCGACACCCGAACTAATGATGGGAAGTGAAGTAGTTGAGCGTGTCGGCCGCTTTACTCATCTTGGAAGTCTTATCAGCCAAAGGACGTGTTCACTGCGCAGCAGTTCGTTCTGTCCTACTTTATGGCAGTGAAACGTGGCCGGTAAGATTAGAGGATATTCCTAAGTTATTGTATTCGATCATAGGTGTCTTCGAAACATTGCTCGTATATCCTGGGACCATTGAGTAAGTAACACAGTTGTTAGGAAACGGGTACTAGGTAAGGATGGCAAATCGACTGATGAAGTGGTGAAACTTCATCAGTTGAGATGGCTGGGACCCGTGTTACGTATGCTCAACTGCCGACTGCCTCGACGTGCGATGTTCAGTGGTATAGGAGTAGGTTGGAAGAAAGCTAAGGGCGGTCAGACCAAAGCATGTCACAAATCCATGAAGTCACTGACAAGTGGACTGAGTCATGTTGGTAGGTGTAGACTACCTGGTTGGGATCCGCGAGATGATAGCAGTAGACGGTTAGAGACCCTGAATGACATGGCTCAAAGTCACTTGCGATGGCGCAGGTGCATCCACTCTTTGTGTTATCCCAAATTCTAATCTTCTGAATTCTTTGTGTCCATTTTTTGTCTTTCCGAATTTCGCTGGATTATACTCCTTGAATAACATCTTCAAACCCTAATGTTTCCGATTACTGCTTAAACTCTTACCACCTCTACCACTACGGGATTTGAATCGACAACTGCATCTTTATGCTAATGTGGTGTGGCAACGCGAACCGATGTACGTTATTACTGACTGACTGACATACAGATAAATATTTTAACCCTAAGCGAAACCAGTTTATGGACAAAATATTTTCTTTGATTTATTACGCTTTCTTAAAAGAATTACAATCGGGAACTCTGTGTAGCTTAGTTCTGAGAATAGTCTACAATTACTCTGTTCAACGAAAATCAGTACCTAAAACTATCCACCAGGAGTTTATATAAATCCTTTCTCATAATTAGGTCCTTAGTTTTCAATCGTAATCATGGATTTTTAATTGATGGATTCGGACAGCACGAGGTTATAATTTAAAAGAAATGCTAAACTACTATACCGGTTGATTACTTATTAGAGACCAGTAGTGGTTTTTTTAAATTTCTTAATGCCAATCAAGCTCTACTGACTAAGTCGCAATACGATCACCCATTTATTCATTCTTATATTGAGTTTACTGCCTTTGAAATTCAGACAATCGAATCCAGTTACCAAGGTGTGTTCTAGGTTCAATGCTACTATATACAGAACAAAACTGTTGCTACATACCAAGAATGGATTAGGTAACTAATACGCGAAGCAAGGAAGTGTTTGTTGTTTATCGGTATCCTGTTTCCCTTTGTTAACTAAAAGTGAGAATAATGGGAACCAATCGTAAGCCGAGATGAATGGTACATAGCAAGGGACAAGAAGCCTGTCCCGAATTTCTCTGCTATCCATCATTCACCTCCACTGACGATGCTTGTGACCTAATGTCAACGTCGTGGCTATCCTTATGGGATGTATATATGCCAAAAAAGACTGATAAATTCCAGTCCAAAAAATTAGTGGAAAATTCAAAACAACTGTTATATATGAATGTGAACCGAGTAACTCAAACTATAGAGATAAGAGAACAAATGTTTCTGCGAGGCCAGACAAACAAAACCGCAATACAAGTGATCAAAATAAACCACTGGAAAGGGTTAGCAAAAGGGTCCTAGTATCTTCAAATCTCTTGAATTAATAAAGTAACTGATATAACAGTATATCATTTAATTGACGCGTATCATAAAAAAGTGAAGAACCTTGATGTGGCTTTGCTACTGGACAATAAAATTGAGCAAACTCGCGATATTCGACCAGTGGTTATTTATGCAAGCTATCATTAATTGTAATTGATTAAGGAATCGACAATAAACAACTGAGATAAAGCACATGGAGCAAAATATTGACTTTACTACGAAAATGAGGAAGAAAGCACAATGGGTTACGTTTTATTTCTTCACTACTTAAACTCTTGGTTCATCATAATCATGTAAACATTAAAGAAAAACTCACAAACATATAATAATCGTTCATCTAGTACTCCAGCTAAGAATAGTCCGTGGACCTATTGGGAAACCTGTATTTACATCGCCTGGCAAAATGGCTCACATACTAATGACACAAGTGATTATGAAGTCATATCTTACCAGTTGCATTGTACTGAACAGTTCTGTGAATGACTTGAAATGCCCATAATAGCTTTCGAATAAGGAATTACGAGCATCACCTGAGTAGACCATAACAACGATCCCTCACGTTTTGTATAAATATGCTACAGTAAATACAGTGTAAGAATAAAGTCATGACAAGGCTTGGTTTCGATGTCACAAACAAGCTTTCTACACGCTTATCTATCTTAAGTACGACAACTGCTTTCGAAGAATCCTTTATAAATTTGTGTTCTCTTAAACCCCTGTCAATTAATACCAAAGTAACATTCATAAACGCTGAACTGACAGAATAAAAAATCTATACGCGAAGCGTTTATTCAAAACTTGAAAAAGGTAAACTTTACACCGGGGAACAAAACAGGAGACACTGTATCACCATGCGTTTTTTTATTTACATCTTCACAAGCCACAAACATTACACAGAGCTTAGTACCATGCACACATACGCCTTTATGTCTTAGTATATTTGTCAAAAAACACTTTCAAGTTTCATCGAAAGCATTTCATTACTACTCTAACACTTCAAAGCACTGATCTGATGAGTCCTGAATCATACGATTTCAAATAAGGCAACACAGTATACAATAACCTAAACCAAACAAAACGTAAGCATTAGGAAAATGACTAAATGCAAGTTTATTCGTTAAATTTATCATATTTTAGTGCCATACCTAGATTCAAAACTTTAATTACCTGAATTGCGAATTGAAAAACTGTCTAGGTAGCGCTGAAGAATCAAATATTTCTTGCGCGACTCTTTGGAATTCTTGATGTACATGTCTGAATGCCCTCTCATGAGCCATGAGCGCCCGACTGAAATGATTATCATTCATCATCGAATTCGAAAAGAAATTTCCCGGCAAAAAGCATGAAAACAAGTCATCCCCGAACATTGTCGTTATTGATCAATTTCAAACCACGCGGACGTAGCCAGTAGCAGTTGCTAATATAAATGAAGACACTAAAGAAAGATAATAGTTTGGATACCGACTTTTTTGACGAGAATCGCCATAAGCGTGTTTTTTGTTTACTTTTCGAGGATCAAATGTTCATAAAGTTACTTCTGACGAAGCGAAAATTTAAATCTTTGTCAAATACGAATATCATACGTGTTCTACGATCCTTTTGAAGCAAATTGAAATCATCTTCGGTTTTCATAGAACAGCAAATAATTGGTTTCTTAAGAAACAATAAATTCAGTCGGTCTAGTTTCCTTTTGAAGATCGTGAAATTAAATCAGATAAAGTAGTGCTCCCTAAATGTTTGAAAGTGGTCATAAAAGTTTCAGGCATGTCAACGTCATTGTCTCTAACGCGTACATAATCGAGAATCACCAACGAATTTGAACTGGAATTCAGGAATAAAGTTTTTCGTTGCATGCCTGATACTTTGGTCCTCCAGTTTGCAAGAGCTCTGCTTAGTGAGCAGAATTTGGTTCTGCAAATAATTTCGAAGCCAGAGAAGGATTAAAAATGATCTTTCAAATCTTACCTATAGCACACGTGGCACAACATCAAATCCCTTCGAAAGCCAAATAAGTTTACCTGTTTTTATATTTTCCTGTCCCAGCAGAGGGTTCAGATTTTTATTCGTCCAACTGTCATTCTTACAGTTTTTTCATCTAGTCATTCAGTAACAATGTAGAACTTCGAACGTACGCACATCAGTTCCAGTTGCCAAACCTTATTACCACAGTAAAGCAGTTATTGATTCAGATCTCATAGTGGTAGAGGTAGGAAAACTATAAGCAGTAATCGGAAAGATTAGGGTTTGAAGATGTTATTCAAGGAGTATAATCCAGTGAAATAAATTTAGAAAGCGAAAAAAGGGACATGAAGAATTCATAAGATTAGGATTTGGGAAAACACAAAGAGTGGATGCACCTGCGCCATTGCAAACGATTTTTTTGCATAGTCAACGCATTTACTTTCTTTCCTTTCTCCTCGGCATTTCAATTACATAGTTTTGTAGCAACACTTTGCATTATAGTGTGGGATCTACTGGTTCTGGAAACTCTGCAGTCACTGAACAAATACGTTGAATTAATTTTAGAGGGGTTTTGTGGACATTATAGTAATTTCAATGGTTGAGATTGAATTAAGTTCAAGATTTTGCTCGCATATAGATAACTATCGAATTCACTCATACCTGCGCATGAGAGCGGGTAGACTACCCATACGGGACGACACCAAAGAGATGAGGCTCTACTTTGAACTTAATAACTTATCTCAAGTTGGTTCACACTAGCTATTTACAAAGACTTCGAAATCTAACTAAAACAAATAAGGGTGAACTTTGATTCAAAAGTATGTCGGATGCCTACGCGGAGGTGGAGTAATGTATGACTTCTAAAATATCTAGACTGAGTAAGAACTGAGCAATGTGGCAGGCTGTGACGTAGCCTCAGAGAATCCTCTATCATACGCTTTCAGCTGGCTGTCGTCCTGTGAAACGGAAATTATTGACCTCAATCTATATTCCTACTATAGTTATTTATGCAAAGTTACTCGTCTGTATTTTTGTTAAATGTTCATTTTTAATAACAATTACTATCTTCTGGAAATTAATTGGATTGGATTTTTGTCATGAGAACACCTAACTCCATACCGCTTGTAGATAGCTGATGAAATGTTTAAACACATTTAATGAACATGTTTAAGAAAGTAAAATAAGGCTGTATTAGATTAACCATACATAAAAGAGTGACTACAGTTTCAGTTTGGAAAGGACAGAAGGCCTGATGTCCTGTGTTAGTCCTGGCAATGGTGGTCTCTCAGTTGATACAACGTTCTTTCGAAAAAGTCGACGGATGGAGCTTCAACCACGTGCTGAGGTAATGAATTACACTCGTTGATGATTCAGTGGGAAAGTCGATAGTCAGCTGACAAGTAATTTGTTCTGGGCTTGTGAACTATTTTGGAGTGTCCTCGTAAATTCTCTGTTTTGGAAGACAAGAAAAATGAGGCCATATCAAGTGCGAATTTGGCACTAGGCAATTTGAAGACTGTAATCAAGTCGCCTCTAGTTCTAAGATATGACAACGGAAAAGGTTCAGCTTGGCCAGTCGAGCTTCATACGGAAGCTTCGTTATTCCGGGAATCAGCTTAGTTACCGTTCTCTGAACCTTTTCCAGAAGCTCACTGTCTTTTTTTAAGCAGGCGCTGGCCGCTTGTATGCAGTACTCAAGTTTAGGACGTACGAACACTGTATATAAAGTCAAAAACGTCTTAGTGTCGACATGACTAAAAGACCTTTGTATTGACCGTAAGGTTCTAAAACCTTTGGCAGCTATTGCATGGCAGTGTGTAGTAGTTATTATTATTATTATTATTATTCACAAACATCTTATGAGTACATAAGTGTTGTGAAGAAACCATTTCGGGTTTCTTCAACAAATGCAATAATACACAACTTTCAATAATGTCAGCATTATACTTGCCATTTAAAAAAATTTAGAGCAATAATAGTAGAATATTAATAATAATAAATCGGATCTGTGCAATTGAGAAGAATATTGAATTGAGTTTAAAGAAGGAAATGGAGAAAATAAGGGAATAGAAATAAAGGAGACGTGAAATACGCAAACAGTCTAATAGGCGTGTTTATGAACACAGAACAAGAATGAACGACTATGTGTGTATCGTTAAATTAGTAACAAAAATAATTAAGAATAAATAACTTATAATTGCAGTAAGATATGACGCTAGAATAAATGTTTGTGCAGTTATAGTTTAGAGTGATGCTATGAAAGTTACAATTAAATGAAAAGGATAATAAAATATCAATATGTATGAGTAGTCATATATGCATATTGAAGATAAAACGAGTCTGAGAAGTTAATTTAAGTGTAACACAAGTTATTGTTTTAATTACAAACTTCGTAATCTTAAGAATAATATTTATTTAGAGGGAAAGAAGATAGAGAAAAGAAGTGAACACTTAGTGAAAAGTTTTGATCCATGATAAGAATAATTATTGTGTAATGAATATCAACCTCACAAGGAAACCAGCAATTGAAAAATAAAATAAAAATCCGTTAAAGCACTCGGATGAATACATTTAGATTTATGTAATAGTATACAGAGTGAAACCGGATATTAGTATAAATATTTGTGCAATAATAATTAAGATTGATGCTATCAAAGTCACAATTGATTTTAAAGGACAATCTGGAGTTAAATATGTTTAGAAGGATAAGAAGATACAAAAGAATATCTAATGTGTCGGGGAACTAATAATGATATTAATAACGGTAATAATGATAAACACGAACATAAGCAGATTCCATATATTAAGATAAATAGAAATAAAATAAAATAGACGTGGAAAGATTTAAAGGTTTTATTTTGCTTTTCATGCAATTAAATGGATGATGGACCTTGTTTGTATAAGTCATTATTGAATACATTGATATTCAATAGGTGACATAATCCACTTTCGGAAAGAAAATCTTCAAGGAGACTTTTGAACCGCGTTGTAGTTTCACTGCAACGGAGGTTCACTGGCAGTCTGTTCCACATGGTTGAGTAGCGAATAAGGAAAAAATTCTGACGTAAGTTTGTGTGGGTTCTTGGAATCGCTGGAATATTCTCCTTATTGCGTAGATTGTGGGATGATATCATAAGGTACGAAGGGGTGGATACCGAGGAGTAAGAAATACCGTTAATAAGCCGGTAGATAAAGACAAGATTTAATTTGATACGTCTGATCCAAAGAGGTTCTAAGTTGACTTGTTGACATCTTTGGTGATAGTCTTTGTTATCAGAATACCCCAGAACAGCTTTGGTGAACTTTCTTTGAACACCTTCAATTCTAATCAGGTCATTATGTCTACAATTACTGTAAACTAAAATACCATATTCAAGAATGGGTAAGATACATTTTCTGTATAGTAACAATCTCGATTCGATATTATTGAAGTTTATCATTATCAATCCGATCAGCTTTCTGGCTTTGGATACTTGAGATATAATGTGTTCAGAAAAGCTCAGACTATTGCTATATCTTAAACCCAGGTCACGAACAGTGTTGAGAGGTTTGAGTGTATGTGTCTGTACAGTCAGATTTAAGTTAAGACAGCGACCAATGTGAATAAATCCACCTTTGTCAACATTAAGTGGCATATTCCACGAAATAGTCCACTCGTACAACTTGTTTATTTCCTCTTGAATTACCGCTGAAATATAATTTTCTTTCGTTGGAGAAGAGAATGAATAAACTACTTTCAGGTCGTCAGCAAAAAGGAAAGGCTTACCATACTGAAAGAGGGAACACACATCATTGATAAAAAGGAGAAAGAGTAATGGACCAACCACACTTCCTTGTATAACCCCACTGGTTACATTCACAGCTTTAGAGTAGCAAGATCCAAAGCGAACGATTTGGCTACGTTCTTCTAAAAAAGATTTGAGCCAAGATAAAAGGGGATTCTGTATACCAAATGAAGAGAGTTTTAAAAGAAGAAGTTTGTGTGAGACACTGTCAAAAGCCTTACTAAAACCGAAGTAAAGAACTATCACTGACTGACCAACATCTCTTCTCTGGGTAATTTGATCAAAAAACTCCAGGTGCGATGTGAAACATGAGCGTTTAGTCATAAACCCGTGCTGGGATGAGCTGATCAGACTAGCCGATCAGACTAGTCTTTAAGTCTTGGCTAGCGATGACTCCTAAGTCATTATATGTCTGGACGACAGGTAGCTCAGTGTTTTTCATCATGTATGTATCTGTACCTTGATGACCGATATGCATCACAACACACTGTGAAGTATTTATCGGCAACTGCCAGGTTTGAGACCATTCAGATATTTTCTTCAGGTCATTTTGAAGTTCTAAGCTATCACCCTCACATCGTGTCGTTCTCCATATCTTGACATCGTCAGCATACAGCAAGACCGATGATGATAGGAGATGAGGAAGGTCATTTACATACAAGAGAAATAGCACTGGCCCCAAAACTGTACCCTGGGGCACTCCACTAAG